AGAAGTGGTATTTATGGTATTGAATATAATAGCTATAGTAAATCTATGAGATCGCATACATTCATATACAGAAAAGAGGACTACTCATGCAATACTGCAATTCATTTTTTCTTGGAATAATAAAAAAAAATGTAATAAAAATAAATAATAAAAATAAGAAATATTAATAATTTAGTCATTGTTTCTAATTTGACAGCCACGAGTTTTAAGCCTGGCACTTGCAGCCCAAGAAATTATATACGGACTATAAACTAATCAAATTAAAATTCGAATATTTAAGTACTTTGCAATACTTGAAACAGCGTTGGATTGTCAAACGAATTTTAATAAATTAATCAAGTTTTTGCTGTTGTTTCTTTATTAGTGTTGGAACCCTTTTAGTTTTCTTCTCGTCATGAGACGCGTCATATATGAAAAAAAATCAACCTTAAAACTAGTTTTTAGTTTGGTGTTATAGTATTTTATTAGACAAGATACTGTCTGCTGATTAAGCAAAATTTTATTTTATTTTCATTTTTTTTAGTTCCGAATAGTATTCCAATCTGTTAACATATTGTATAGTAATGCACAAGAATTGAACATCAAGTAAACATTTTCGCAAACACCTTTTTCAAAGTGAAATAATACAAACCACGAGAATGTTTTCACTAAGTAAATTTATTTTTTAAACAAAGTATACAAAATTAAAATAAAATAACTTAAATTTTAATTTTTACAATAATTATTTTTCATATCGAAATATATTTAAAGTAAAATATAATGGTAATAAATTTAAGGTCACTTCATCATCTAATAAAATCTCCTTTTTCTTTTTTCTTTTTGCATTGAATTGATCAAAATAGAATATATAAAGAATTATTGACAATATTTCAGCATTATTCTAAAAGATTTTTTTAGCTTCATTTACTGTTTTGTGGTATTTTTTGCTACCCACGGCTAGGTTCTACACATTTTCAATAATGTTAAAATCAGAACAGCGACAAGGCCACGACAAAATTTCAGTATTCTATTCTTGAAACCAAAGGAATGTAGCATGGCTAGTATGAAATGTAGCATTGTCCTGTCAAAGAAATGATCCTCGCAGTGACCTTTTCTTCTTCATGAACGGTATCAAACAAATTGTTAGAATATCAAAGCATTTATTAGAGTTAATTTATTAATTACAATATCTCTCTGACCATCCAAACATATGACTTTCCAAACTTTATCTTTTTCACTGTCATATTTTACTTGTGTATCTATGCAGTTCACATTATATTGTTCAGATGAAAGGCGCCGAATAGTTTTAAGAGTAATAAGAAAAAACTGAAAAATGTTTTTATCCGAGAACATAACATTTTTCCAAGCATATAGATCCCTTTATTTATATCTGTGGTGAAACTATAGCCAACTTTTACTATGTAGTTTTGTCTGTAGAGATTTTTGTTATGAGACTTATTCTGTTATGCCTACCTGGTAAAGCCACCTGCGAACATATCTAGGGAATACCGATGAATTTGTTGTCCGATTTAGTTTGTAGTCAGTTCATTACAGTTTGCTGAGCGATTAAGCTTAACAAGTCTATGCAACATACGTTTCGATAGAACTTTCTTGGCGATCCATTTTGATGCCTTTTGATAATCTGTTTCTTTATACTATTATGCAGTGTGCTTGCCGCATGTTCTGCTGAGATGCAATATTGTGCTAATATTTCTATACTTTATGAAAAACAAGCACCTTTAAACTGGGGAGTTATTATTTTTTATTAATAAAAACAATAACAAAAAAAACTATTTTTCACAATATTTCAGCAAATATATTGCTTTTTTCATGATTTTTTTCCTATTTATCTGTAAGTATCCTTATTTGACTTTTAAACTACACCAATGGCTAAAAAACAATTTTAAGTAATATTATAAACAATGAAAGAATATATCAAAATTAAACCTAACTTTCAAAAATTCAAAGATGTGTTAAAAAAAGGGAATATTTTTTTAAAGAATGAAGTGGTCTTAAATATATACGTAATTGCTTTGTACTTCACATATTTTTCGATATGAGAAATAATTGATAAAAAGAACCAAATTAAAGTGAATTTAGTTTAATTCTGTATACTTTATTTTAAAATATGTAAATATGTTTAGTCAAAACATTCCCGTACTTTGTGTTATTTCCCTTTGAATTAGTCTATGGAAAAATATTGAAATCTTAAACTTTTGCGAAGCATTAAATATAAATTAACAATATTTGCAATTTAAGCAAAGTTACAAAAAACGAACATTTAGTCGGTTGAACTGAATTGCTATACAAGTCCTTTGAATGCAGTCTTAAAGATCTAGCGGGGCGCATCTACAGAACCGGCTGAATTCTATTGGGTTAGGATAATTTCTCTAAAGTGGCATTTAATAAAATAATCTTATATATCGTCTATATTGTATATGAAATATGTCAAAGATGTGTTAAAAGTAATTTTGTTGAAATATTTAAATTTATATATTTGAATATTATATATTTAAAATTAATAAACTATTCATTTTAAGGTTTGAGAGTTAATCATTGCAATATTATACATTTTTGATTAAACTATTGGTTAATATTTTTATTTCCCCAGAATTAGAATTATAAAATTCTAAGCAACCTTTTCTACTATCTGCTAATATAGTTGTGTTTGTGAGATATCAAAATATAGAGATATAAAATTTTTATATTTCTTTATGTTATTTCTTTAGCATATGCAAGTTGTACTTAATTACTTGTAGTAGTTGTTTTTTATGTAAAAATTGATAATTTTAAAGTCCGATACTTCAAAATATAGATTGCATCCACATAAAGCGTGAAATTCTTAACATCTAAGAATAACAGTATTTCCAAGATAAACGATCTTTACTTTAATATCACTGTTAATCAATTATTTAACAAATTACATATTAGCGGATAAAATCTATAATCTGGAAAATCAAAATCGCCAAATAAAGGTGTTTATTTGATAAAAATCTCAAGTGAATACATTCTTAAATTTTAGAAACCCGTGTCCAGAAAAATGGGATCTGTGTTAATCACAAGGGATTAAAAAGGTACCTGTGTGATCACTTCCAATTAATGTTTGCAAATATTTCAACATAGTTCAAAAGAGTTATTATTTAGATTTATTTGTAATGGTGTAGATGTCACATCACAATCAAGAGATATACTCAAGCGATACAATTAAGAGAAGCTGTTACAGAGAACTCTTACTGATGGAACGCGAAGAAATTTTTCAGAGGGAAAAGTTGTCTTTTTTGTTTTTTAGGAATGCATAATTATGACTGACTACTTCAAAACGGTAGTATTATGTATTGCTTTTATACCGATTCAATAGTGTAATTAAAGAAAGAGAGCCGCACATATAGAAGCAAATAGAAATTCAGAAAATGCAAAGGAACTCTATCCATTCTTGTGAACGGCGCAGAGGAAAAAGAAAGAGAACTCTATTGCGAAAGGCTGCCAAGATTATCATAATCTAAAATGCTTTTAGAGACTTACAACCTAAAACTCTTCAAAGATTGCATAGCACAATTAAAAAATAACCTAAGAATTATTGCGAGATTATTGACCAATCACTACAGATTGAATAATCACCTATCGAAGTTCGGAATTCAATCCAACTCAGACTGCGGATACTGTAGAGAAGAGAGAGAAACTGCATACCATGTACTTGGGGATTGCCCAGCACTGATGCACAAGCGGAAGAAATCATAAGGATCCAAGACTAGGAAAGATAGGCTCTATACTGTCTTTCATTAAAGAAATCAGACTTTGAGAAACACTCTAATCAGACTAAGGGATTTTTTAGGTCGCAATGCATGATCCCTTCTTTTCAATAGTAAAAATAAAGTTCATGAAAAATGATAAAGTATTCATTTTTTTATATTTATTTTACAGTTTATTTTTTCTTCTAATATTTTTTTTTCGTTGATATTAGTAAAATGGTTAAGGATGGTTATTTAATGGTAGACTACACATCATTTTACTTTATTTTTGTCTGTTTTAAGTGTAGAACTAATCTAAATTAATATATAATAAAGAGCATTTTGTCAACTATTAGTGTGCTGTTTGGATGTGTTTCTATAGTGGTATTATTACATTTGATATGTATACTATATATATACTGCAATGATTAATAGCAAAACTTAAACCAATACAATTTCAAGTATTATCTAAAATAACACAATCTTTTACAGTTTTTGCAAACTTTATTGACAAATTAATCACAATGGATGATATCATTCGAACTAACTTAGCTAAACCGTTGATGAAAAAACTGGCACTTTTAGGTATTTTACTTTTACTTTAGGATTACAGATCACAATGATCTCAAGTCAACTCAAATTTCAATTCTTGGGTGTAAGATTTGAAAACTAATTTAAATATGAATGGGACTTATAAATTATTAATCATCATTCCAGCAATAAACATAATATACATACTTAATACTTAAACAAGAGTCAAAAACGAGTTATTTTAATGGCTGATTCATACCGATATTGTGTATTGTACAAGGCGGGAGAGCGTACAACTACTTTTAGCTGCAAAATTTCGTTTAAAAATTTTATCAGCTTTTTTGCTCTTGCAACTACAAAATTATTAGAAAATTAAAATATTTAAATAATTTCCGAAATAAGCGAAACCAAACCGGGTTAATCGGTCAAAATTAGGGAAAATTGATTTAAAGAAAAGAGAAGAAGAAAATTAATAAAGCCCATTCATTAAACAGACGTCTATTAGGGGGGAAAGAAATAAGTGTGTAAGTGTAACGCAATTTGAAATTTCAAAACATTGACGTATGTCGAGTAAGCACTAAATTTGGTAATAGCTGAGCAAGTTTGTGACATGCATAACAATTATGGTTAACAATACCATAAAATAAATAATATAAAATACAAAAATAAAAAAATATAAAAAAAGACAAATTGAATAAGTGAATAAGTTAATTATGGTTTTAAAAATAAAATGAAAAGAAATGAAATGAAAAAATTCATTACCTTTTGTGCTGCACAGCGTTTTTGCAAGGCGAATTTTTGCATTTGAATCATCGACCGCAGCCGCCAAGCCAACAGAGCCGTAACCAAGTTTAAGCTTTGCTGAGATATCCGCACCTGCAGCTACGGCTGAGCCGTTGACATCGTATTGATGTTGTTGCGTTAGAAATGCCGTTCGTTTTTGCCGTCGATCTTCATTAATGACATCATCAATCTTTTTTATGTTTTCTGGGGTAGTGTCTGCTTTTTCCCTTCCATCCGATAGGGAATCACTATCAAAACAATACTGGTTGTCAAAGTGTAAATCTTGTAATGGTGTAGCCGCCAATTTCGTTGTCAAATGATCTATTGGTGAATTGTTCTTTGTAGGCATTACCTCAACTGAACAGGCTGTGGTAGTGTTGTGCTCATCTCCTACTGCTTCACTATTTGCTGTTGCCGGACTTGTGGTATGCGATGTATCGTTTGTGGCGGCGTATGATGTCATGTCTATGATGGTAACATAAGTTGCTAGCTAGATTTGAATGTGCTCTATATATTATATCACTTAATTAATGAGGTGTGTTACAGAATGACCTGCTTTTAGCTCCTTTTTATTTTAATATATATTTTTATATTAGCTTTTTTTATTGCTTTTTCGTTTTGTGCGTTTATGAATTTTTCGTTTTGTAATTCGGTTGGTTATTCCAGTTGGGTTAACATCATTTCATTTTCATACCAGCTGTTTGTTGTCTGGTTTATTGAAGACTTTTGTGGGAAGTGTTGAGTTTCCTTAAGACTAACTCCAACAGCGCTGCTAACTGCTTTAACCAGGATATTATGTTCCTATGCGCTTTAATTGGCCTTATGTGCAGCTAAAACAATTCGAATAATTGTATTCACAAATATATTTTATTATTTTATTATTGCATAGAACTATAAATAATTTAGAGTCGAAAAACACAAACACAAACAGAAATTGAAATTCAAACAAAATTAAAATTTAGCATAATTGAGATTTATTCTCTAAAAAAATTTTTTTTTTAATTTTAATTGTATTTTAGCCGTTTTCCAAAACAGCTAAGAAACTATTCAGGCATATCACTTTTTGTTATAAAATAAAAATAGAATCATTTTTCAAGGTTCGCTTCGCAACCAAGATTATTTTTTTTGGTTTTTTGTTTTTATTTTAAATATTTGTTGTTTTATAATAAAAATACTTTTACAACGCGTTGTAGAAAATTTTTTTGGAACGACGTCAACTATCTTGGCCCATTGTCTGAAGTAGTGTCCGTCTATACAAGGGCAACGCACAAGTCGCGTAAACTAATTAATTGTAACGAAACGCTTGCTTTTCATTCTATTTAGAATATTTTAAGCGGTTCATTTAGTAATAATTTTTCTCTTGATAATGAACTCAATTTACAAGTTTTTCACATAAATGCTTTTAAATAGGATTTTAAATACGCCCGACCAACATCTGCTGTTCACAACTCGTTTTTAACTATTACCAAAACTCATTGAGCGCACTGGCCAGCCAGCAAACTCAAACAATTTTTGTTTTGGCCAAATCAAGTGCGTGAGAGGAGCTAAACTAAAAAAACATACACTGAGCACGAAATTCGTATTTGTTGTGAGCGCACCCGGTTACTTTTGATTATAGGTATTTGTTTTTATTTATAAATAAATATTTTAGAAATGAAATAAAATTAAGTTTTTTAATTTCTTTTTCTAATTTTTAAAAATGAATATAAATTAAATTTTACACGATTTAATGTAAGAGTATATTTCATCCATTTTTTTGTATTTTACACAAAAAATTAAAAACACATTATTTTTAATAATTTAAAAAAATTTATTACACAGAATGTAACGGTAAATTTATATATTTTCACAATTTTTATTTATAGTTAAATAACATGTTTGAATTATATTTAAAGAATTATTTGAAATAAAGAAATGGCATCTAAAAATCTTCATTATTATAGTTTTATAACTATTTTTAATACTTTTACGAAAAAGATCATAAAATTCCATGTCTTCTTACAATATTATTATAACTGATAATGGTAGGTCGATATATCAATTTTCATTATTATGGTTTCATATCTGTTTTTGATACTTTTACAAATAAGATCATAACATTGCACTTGCACTTACAATATTATTATATCTGATAATGATAGATCGATATATAAATTTTCATTATTATGGTTTCATATCATACTTTTACGAATAAGATCATAACATTGCACTTGTCCTTATAATATTATAATACCTAATAATGATAGGTCGATATATCAATCTTGAATAATCCAACACGAAACACTGAGTATACTGTGTTTCCCGATGTTTAAATTTGTAAACTTTCTGTATTGATTACACTGATAAATAAATATTGCATACGCCATCTAACGCTACTAGTATATACAGTTTTTACAGTTGATTACACAGATGACGAGTAACAATTAGATACATTAGATGGCGCATTAGTTATTATGAATTGTCTTCATGTCCAACTTAAAAATTCGACATCTCGAAAACTAGCGTTATTAAAAAAGGTATTTATAGTAATTACTTTTATTAAAATCCGTTATTTTTCAATACGAGCAAAAATAAATCGAATCTGTTTTGCATTTTGAGACTTAAACTACAGTTCTGCTATACAATGCAGTTCTGGTGCAGTTTAAGTCTCAAAATGCAATGCAGAATAATAAATTGTAATACAAATGTAAGCAAACAATACTTTATAATGTTCTGTTCACATACCAAATATCTTCCTTAAGATTTGATAGAAATTAAGATATTTGTTCACATTTTTGCAATTACAAAATACACGCTCATTATTCCTTATTGCTTTTAAAGTATTGAATACTTTATAAGACACATTTATTCAAAAACAAAAAGAATTATTAGTAAAATTAATTCATTAACATATTTATTCTGCGCTTAAAGTATACCGTTTCTAATTAATTTTACCCGTTCATTTCTTTAATGTTTAAATATTTTGCCATTTTCAATAAATTTATGTTTTTTCATATATTTTTAAAATTTTTTGATTTTCATATCACATTCCAATATCTTAACTCTTAAAAATGAAATATTATAGTTTTTGCTACTTAAATTTAAAATAAATAAAATGTAATGATTTTATTTTAGCAATATTTTAAATTAATTAATGGTTGTGAAATTTTTATTTGGTAAAATGTTAAAAAATATTTTAACACAAAGCAATTACTATTTTCTATATCAGAATGGGTAACACTTCAAATTTATTTATTTTTTTTAAGTAAAACATTTTCAATAATACATTGTTTTTCAATAATTAAGTAATTTAGAATTATTTTTATATTATAAACAATAACAAATTAATAATCTCACTACAAGCTTTTTATAAATTTTGTGCAGATTATGCGCACCATTTTCAACAAAAATGGTTACTTTTTTTAAAATAAATTTGCAACACTAATAAAAGAAGAAATTCAATTTTATTTGAATTAAATGTAATTAACTGGAGATTTGAGAGAAAAGTGCCAAATAAATTAGTTTGAAGAAATCATTATTATATTATAACATTAGCATTAAGTTGCAGAAAACAATAACATAATTGATTTTATTGGATTTAATTAAAATATGTTAGCACTACACTTGACAGAGAACAAACAGGTGTGTACATTGTGATGCAAGTGCCTCTAGCACACATAATTAAATATTGACTAAGAATGAGTAATTTTTATATTGTATTTAATTTTAAACATTTTTCAACTAAGCGCAAGCATATCCAAAAGAAACTATTATTTTTGTGAATTTTTCAGCCTTTGTTTATTTTGCTCACAGAAGTGCTCTTTTTTTTGTATTGGAGTGTTTTTTGTATTTTTTTCTTACTGGATATTTTAGTAATACATTTATTACATTTATTATCAATTATGTGTACAACATTATTTTACTTAATATAGTGATTTCAAAACTTTATTTAACTCACTTTCTACATATTTTATGCACTCTTTTGTTACAAAAACGCACATAACTCACTTCGATTTATTCCGCAGAAATAAAACTGCCAATCAGTTTACGGTGTGGGAGTTGTGTTGCCAGATTAAATATTTATGAGTTTCATAGCAATATATAGAATAGAATTCATTTTACCGATAAACATTATCGATAATTAAACAAAAATTATTATTAAAATTGTCTTCTCTTTTATGTCAAAAAGATTTGAAAAATTTAATTGTCGCAGATTATTTTGTAGTAATCACAATTTATTAAAATTTTAAGTAAAGACATTAACCAGATTAGTGTTGATTTTATTGGCAAACGCATGTTTACAAATTATTATTCCTAATTAATATCTTGTAAGTTTATCGTACTAAAGTTTTTTTATTTTAACAAAAAAGTGTCTATTAAACGAACTGATAATGTTATTATTAAATTTTAATATAACTATGCATATAGAATTGTTTTAAAAATTTGTTCTTAGCGAAATTAGGAATAGGAGTAAACGGGGTACTTGGTCCCAACGGAGCGGAGCACTGCGACCATGCTTGATCTTTTGTGCTGCAACATACCCTAACTGGACAGGAGACATTCCGCCTTTCGAATGAAAGCCAGAATGTCGGCCGTTGAGGACCTCCTAATGTTAGAATGGGAGAGTAGTTCTCGATCCAGCGAAATTATGAAATAAGAAATATTTTCCTCTGCTGTCACAGAAAAAAACTTAATTATATCCAAGTTGAAGTAAATTTATGTTTAATATACATTTCTTTTAACTTTCGTCGCATACAAAAATGAGAAGTAACATTCTGCAATAGCAACTGTTTGAACTATAAATCGTTAAATGACTTGCTATACCACTTTCATCTATATTCGTAATAGCGGGAACATTTAAAGAAATGAAAAAGTAGACACTTTGACCTGAGTTAAGACTTTTATAAATGTGAGTGGTGTTTATCTTCACACAAAGAAAGTGCGAATTTCTGTTAACAGTCGTTACCTACTATTTAGAAGCTGCAAGTTGCTCAAAATCAGGCTCTCCGAAGACTCTTTAAAGTGCCTTAGTACATCCGCACAAATGACATCCTAAGAGACCTTAGAATAGACCCGTTCAAAATATACATAAGAAACAGCCCTGAAGCTATTCGCGAAAACCGACAGGCTGCCCTACTTAACACTATCTAATCTCAGAATAATCTCTAGCCGCACAGTGTGGTACGCAGATCTTAGATAAGTCATCGAATAACCACGATGCTTTTGAGTAATACATAAATTAGTCAGTAAGAAGGGTGGGACTCTGCAAGAACCTCCCAGCTATCAAAGAGTAAAAGTGTCCAGATGCACTGACTCGGAAAAGACTTAACATGAACATGAACAATATCTCTTTAAATGATTATTTAATCATTTAATCACTTAAGTTTCGGCTACCAGGAGAAACGGGCTTTTATTGCTGTACTTCCTTTAAAGCTTTATCAGTAATGACAATAGATTAGAAAAATAATCGAAGTGAATAGAATAGTTTTTTTATATTTCAAAATTTTCTATGAGGAATATGGTATTAAAACGGTAAATAATCAGTAATTGTGATATATAAAATAGATATCTGCTGATCAACCTGCTAACCATTTAACAACCTACGATTAAAAAAATTTTCCATGTAAATTAAACAATACATTCTTATTTAAAATATGTTTATTGCATTTTTTCTATTTCTATAATACCGTACGAATAACATACTTTTACATGTAGCATTTTATTCAACACAGTAGTGTTTATAAATCTAACAAGCAAATTTAATTAAAAACAATTCATATATATATATATAGTTATATATAATAAAACAAAGAAAATTATAATCAAATTTACAAAAAGATAAAAAGTAAATAAATGGAATGGTTTAAATTGTTATAATTACAACTCAAAGATAAGACAGCGGAGCAAATCGGTAATAAAAGTTTAAAAATGTTTCATTGGTGTTGATAACAAACTTATCAACTCTACACTGATAATTGCACAAAAAAAAAATTACAAAATGGAATATTTTATTCATCGTCCACTCCAATAACATACTCTGCCATTTTCAAACGCCAAATTAATTCGTGGATGTGGCAAAATTTTACCAATTTTTAGATGTTCGATTGTTTCGTCTTCAAAGTGCATACATTGTTTAACGAAATTCAGGAATTTTTCATTCATAACAGTTGAAAAATGTGATAATTTATTTAAATTTTCATCGTTGCAAAGTTTACGCACAATTTGTTCACATATTCGCGTATTTGCATCCACATCAAATAACGGCACGCCATAATGTACATCGAGCAATGTCCATTCTTCAGTTGCATCATTGCTATCTACACTTATCTCGCACGCTCCTCGACCATTAATTGGAATTTCAACTGAACCTTGTGATACTAATTCTGGCTTACTAAACTCACCAATAGAACTTGAATCGCAATTTGCTAATTCTGTAGCTAATAACTCATTACAGTCATCTGAAGTGTATAAGTTTGAAGGTGAACTATTTTGAGGACTTACAGCAAAATAATTCTCATCTGGACTTTTTAATTTATTACTTGGCGAACTTGGTACACGTGCAAAGCTAGTAACTTCTGAATTATCCGCAGGTGATAGGAGGTCCTGCACAATTGGCACTTTCGTTGAATTTATATCAGAGTTAGATTCTGAATTTGGCACATCTTTAATTTTGTTACTGTTTTCAGAGATTTTTGTTTTGCTTTTCGGATGCCTTAAATTAACATTTATTTCATAAACATCGCACCCAATATCAGCAACACCTGTGTTGAGGAATGATATGAAACCACAATTGTGATTTAAGTCTAAATGTTCACTTAGTTTTTGTACAGCTTTATGTTTTGACCACTTAGCTTGACGTAAATCGTATTCATCAAAAGGAAAAGCTTCATAACGTAATTCTCCTGGCTTACGTATGCCATATCCTTGTATCAGCACACAACCATTTTTTAGTTGTTCATTTATATTACGAAAATTCTCAGAATTTATAACATATGAATCGGAATGTAAGATATTTACTAGCAATTTGCCATATCCGAGAAAAACTCGTGGTAAAGACTTAAGTACAGTGCCTTGGCATAAAAATAGACTAGGTGGACCATATCCTGAAAGAGTAGCGCATTAATTGAGTTTAAAAAAAATAAACTACATTTGTACAAACCAGTTATGTGATTGTAAAACAGTTTCGTCCACATATGAGAACAGTCTGAACTCTTAAAATATTGTCCGAAGAGGGGAATGCTAAAAAGATGAGATATTGAAGCTGTTAGTGGTGCTGCAGATATTATAAATTTATATTTTTTCTCCAAAACTCGATCACGAGTTTTCTGATCTAAACACTCCAAACATTCTAAACGTAGCAAATCTAATCCTCCTGGTAACAAGTTGCGAAGCGCGCAAATCGTTGATCGCAGTATTACTGCATGAGCAAAATAACGTGATACATCGCCTTCACCTTCAGCATCCAGTAATGATACTTTTTCCAATTCTACAAGAAACGAATCCATACTCTCTTCAGAAAGCTTACCAACTTCGAACATGGTAACCGCATGATTTTTAAGACCTGGCGATAAATTGCCCATCATCAAAAAGGCTGTAAGTGTCGAATCAAATAGAAAACCAACACGTTTTCCGATTTTTTCGACCTTTTCAATAGTTGTTGTTTGCTGTGTTCCTGATGCGGATTCTCTAATGCTGAGTTTGGTTGTACTTTCACTTAGATCATCTATTTCTGAACTAAATTCTTGTTCTTCTGTATTTGGATCTGAAGTTTCATTTGCTTGAGGAGATGGTGCAGACATATTAGCGAAACTGAAGTCACTATTGTTACCATCTGATGAAAGATATCCAATTGAACTGTTGTCTTTATCCTGCTTGGGACTACTCTGCGTTAAGCGAGAATTTTCGGCATTGATAAAATTATTGTAGTTAAGTGGAGTTATTTGTGGCACTTCTTTCATATTAGAACGTTCTTTTATATATTTTGTCCAACTGTGATGAAGTTTTGGTTTAGTCCCTGGACTTTCGCTCAATACTTCTTTTATTTGCGCAAAGCCTAAACGACAAAACAGCGAGACAGCGTATTTGACAGAATCCAATTCCACCTGCAACATCTGTGCTAGTTCAGAGATGGTCATATGCTCATCAGCACTCACAAAAATTTTATACAATAAATTTTCAAAATAATCTCCACTGACTCGATTCATAACAAAATTTTTTAATGGTGGTATACATATACGATCTTCACCAGATATAGGTACATCTAAATAAACTAACCCTTTTCTATATAAACTATGTACTAGTACATAGTCACACTTTCCTGCTGTTTGAGAGCCAAAATCAATTAAGTCATCTATTAGACTTCGTTCTGCTGTTGTAACATAACGTATATCTGTCTCGAGTACATAAGCAACTTCAATTCGCCACCAAGGTTCAATATGTATTCTAACTGGGAAACGTGGCATAAAATCCATAGGGTTTGCTTTCGATCCAAACAATATAGCACGAGGGGATGTGTGTGTCTTTATGTCACTGATCAAAGATAAGTATTCATTTCTGCCAATGCCAAGCACTCGTAGGCAATCAGCTGCTGTGAAATTCGGTAACGTATCATAACTTTTATCATTGCGTAGCAGTTGACTTAGAACTTCCAAATAATAATTGAAAGGTGTAAACCGCATTCCCTTTGTTACAATATCCGCCAAATGATATGGAAATAACAATAAATTGTTAATGCTTTTCTGCACTAGGAGTTCATAATAACGCTGTTCGTGGCGAAAAACCTTTGATGCAAGATTTCCACGAAAGCGTAACTGATTTTTAAGACTGTAATTGAAGACATATTTTTCATAGTCACGTTGATTATTCTGCAGCACCTGTCGCAGGTGTACGGGTAGTTGCTGCCATGGAATGTTTTTACGCACACAATTTGCAATATCTTCTGCCACTTTTTCAGTCGACATTTTAGGAATAATGTTTAGTAATCATTTTTTAAAACACATATACGATTACATATCTTCAAAAACGTTTCAAATGGTTCTAATTAAAACAAATTTATCAGACTTTTTTAATTTTTCTGCGCAAATATTGATAAAAACACTTTTCCTTTATTTTTTTCATTCGTTAATACGTTAATACGTTACTTTTGAAACGATGGAAACGAAACGTTTGTATTGATGCTTGTAACTACTAAAAATTTGAATGACTTCTTCAGTACTATTGCGTAGTTTGTTGTTTAATTTTTATTAACAGTTATTATTAGGTTTTTGCTTTTTAAGCAAATCGCAAAAGAACAATCGTTTAATTTAAAAATAACATATTAAACAACAACACTGCTGACTTATTTAGACCAACCATCTAATTTAGAAATCGTCTATTGTGGACGACTTTTGGAACTGCATGCTAAATTTCCAGTTAACTGTCAACGAATGATTTCGTTAATGTCCAATTGAATTGGACACAATGAAACAAAATCAAAATTTTGAAATTTTATTATTCACAAAATTAACATATTTTGAAGTTCCACATTATTAAAAAACTATAATGCGTTTCACAATGTGACTATCACTTACAACACTGTCAGCTGATGTATCATTATTTGAGTAGCGAAGGTACCGTTGATAAATACAAATCTGTTATGTTAATATCAGGGTAATCTACTCAGGGTAGATACTTTGTGTTTTGTTCGATTGACAAGTCTTGATGGAATTAAGATTTACTCTAGATCTGTAACATTGTGTCCAATATTTTTTAGAGTAATCTAATATTTTTGTTGTTGAGTTAGTAAGCACTTATATTTTTCATTATACATATGTCGAATCAAATCACACTTTATCTGTAAAGTCACATAAAACAGCTGTCAATTTTAACTGTTTTAAAATTTCTAGTGGTGTTATAAGTTAATTTCGAATGTTATACATTTCGCTTGAGTGAATCTCGACTGATAATGCTGCCCCAGATTTACTAATCGAAAACGGCAATAATATAAAATAAATTTAAAACGAAATTTTATGGTTTTTTCTATATCGAAACGACATTGAAATACACAAAATGCACAATAAAGAAATAGAATAAATTTTAAACTAAACCGGAATGTAAAAACTTTTATTAATTCCCCAAGAAATTCAACTCTAAATAATCAGAAAATGTGTAGGCTAACAATAGGTTTGTTTCACGAGCTAGTAGTAAAACTCAAGTAAAACACAAGCAAAGTACAAACTCAGAGCGTAACACAAATAAAGTCCGAAATTAAACTCTTTACACAGATTTTCACGGAACAGCTTTGTGTAAAGTATTGTGACAACACCTGTGCTGCGCAAATAAACCAAAGTTAAATTCACACTAAAACAGCTGATTCACACATCAACACAAATTTTACTTAAAATAAAATGCAAGAGTAAAGTCCGTGTAGCATTTTTAAATTTCGATAAGGATGTTACGCTCTCTCAGATGTTCTCATTTACTCGAAAATTTGCTGATGGATCGCACTTGTGTAATATTGAGAAGAAAATTTCAAAAATATTTGTATAGGATTTTAATAATATATATATGTACATATAGTACATATTAATATGTACGAGTAAAGTCCGTGTAGCATTTTTAAATTTCGATAAGGATGTTACGCTCTCTCAGATGTTCTCATTTACTCGAAAATTTGCTGATGGATCGCACTTTTGTAATATTGAGAAGTGAATTTCAAAAATATTTGTATTGGATTTTAATAATATTTCACTATTTGCTAACTTTAAACATTAAAATGGAAATATTTTCACTTTTCTCAAGCAAAAATTGTCTAAATTCTAATAATTCTATTGTATAAATTAAAACTATGCAGACAAAATTCCTTCACTGTTTATTTTAAATAATCAAAATATATGTTTGTTGTTATTCCTATGGAACCTTTGGTAGGTGCATACTACTTTTAAATGCAACTCTACCATTTCAATGATTTAGAAATTTATGTTCTTTATAGAATACATAAATAAGGAAAACACTGTAGTCTTAATAGAAGTTTTTAATAAATTAATATTGCACTAATTATAAAAATTAAAAAAAAACATAATATATAAAAATTTTTTATATGTGCTCATGTTAAAAATAGTTTTATTTTGAAATTAGTTTTTTTTTTAAAAGGATAACTTGAGAATACAAAGGAGTGACGATCGATTTTTTGCACTACTTTTCGTGATTATTGACGTTTTAATACACAAAAAAAATTCAAATTGAAATTTATTTCTTCATGAGTTCAGAGAACAAAGACGTAAATGGCGACTTATCTTCTAGGTATTAAAACATATAATATATTATAAAATGAATGTTCTTTTATATTATTCTTTTAAATGTTCTTTAGTGGCAATGAAGAAGCGTCATTAACTAGCAACGATCTCGTATATCTACAAAGTCCTGCAACATCAAGACCACCAAATAAAGATTACGATATGAAGCGAAATGCAGTGAAAGCATTGATTGAACGATATTTTTATCAGCTGCAGAGCGGCTGTGGTAATCCAAAATGCTCAAATTCATTTTGTGCTTCCAGTGGCAAAGTTGCACCTATGACTCCTAACGAAATAGCTGCTAAAGCCTTACAACTTGTATCCCAGGAAGCAAAATTATGCGATTTTGATAATCATTTAGCAAAAATAGCACGCACACAAAATGATTCGCCCACGACGAGGTAATATATTTAATTTGAATATAAAAAGAGGTACATTTTATTCATGCCCTTTAATATTTCTTTAGTAGTTCAAATGTAAGTTCAGCAACAACACCTAGTAAACAAGACTCTGAAATGATGGGCTCTAATGAAATAAAATATAGCGAAGGAAGTGGTATGAGTGCACTTATAAGAGCAAGTAGTTCAAGTTCAACAGTATCTACTAATACAAATATATCTAGTTGTGCCACAGAAGAAGAACCAATACCGCATATAATACCAACAACTTCATGTGCATGGATTCCGCATAATATAGAATTAAATCAAAATGTTACAAATCCACCTAAATCATCTATGCCCACTCAACCACCAATAGATTATTTAGATAATAAAATTTTAGAAGAATTAATTGAAGAAAGTACGCTATGTAACAATTTTGAGCGCTTAACCGATGTTATTAAAGATGTGTTTGGTGACATCAATAAGCTTAGTAAGAGTTTTATGCGCTCATTGAACCAGAAAGATTTAAATTCAAGAGCAGCTACTTCTAAAATACAAGCACTTCTGAGTAAATCACCTAAAGACTTAAAGAAAGAAGATTTACGAATTTTAGAAGGTGAAACTGAGAAGGATGAGGACAGTTCTGTTCAAGTAGAAGAAAATGTTCCCACTTTAGATGTTGTGGAGCCGATGAATACCGACGAAGTCTATGATGATGAAAATACTACATTTCAATCTAATAGAAGTGATACTATGGTAGATTTAGAAAGCTTAAGACAAATCAAAAACAAACTTTTTGATTTGGATAAATCGGAAATACGAATGGCCTTAAATGAAGGAATTTCAACATTAATAGAAAAATTAAAATTTTCTGTAACATTTAATTGGGAAAATGTACTTCATTGTTTTGTAATACTTTTTGATATGCCATTTGGTAAGTTCTTTGATATGGATTCTCATATGAGTTATTTACATATAACAAAATATTGTTAATATAATGACCTATAATTATATAAATATTTTTTTTGTTGCTATGTATAACTTTAATAAATTCATTTTTCAATTTTAATATTTTCTAATTTAATTTTTTTTAGCTTCTAGTACCTTTGCTGATATGGAATATATCGACCGAAACTTGCCAAAACTTTGCAGTGTCGCAAGAATTTTACCTGTTTCGGCACAAGCCCGGTTAGCACGCATTTGGGCAACAAATTGTAGCGATCTACTTTTAGCTTTGGTGCAATGTTGTCAACAACTTATAACTATTCAGACTATGTTTGATGAAGAAATGGCACAAGAAAATCAAGAAATTATTTCAGTAACTAAAATATTAAAGGTGGGCGTTATTATATTTATATTTGGTTAAATGAAATTTATTTTTACTCATTTTTTATTTTTAATCATTTAAGATTGCCTTCTATGCCAACATTTTGGCTAGTGAATTAGATACTCGTAAATCTTTAGATAGTCAAGATGTAGATGTGGTGTCAACTGTAAATGAAGATGAAGACGACATATTTAATTATATGCAAGAACCTAAAGGAAATGCACATAAATTTGCCGAAGATCCTCTTGAAAAGGAACTAGGCATTTCCAGTCTCGACTGCAGAGTACCATTAGTGCCATTAGAGGAATTTTACAACGAGGCATTTAGTGAAATTATACAAATGGATCGTGATTATATGTCCTATAGAAATTTATCATTTGATCCTAATGGTAACAATGTTGTTTATATATTTTTAATTAAAATATTTTACGTGATTATATTGTATTAATAGGTCCTCATTTCTCATTCATGCTGTATTCATTTATTTTAACCCCCGCTACCAAAGTTATTGCTCTATATTACGACAGTCGCATAAGAATGTTCAGCGAAAGAAATTTATCATTATATACTATGGTAAATTATAATTCTGAAAGTAACCATAGGCCAGATTTGAAATTAAGAATTAATCGTGATAACATAATATCTGATGCATTAATTTGGGTAAGTTTGAAAAATTAAAGTAAAGCTAAACATTGTGTTTAATAATAAAATTTTAAAGTATTAAATAAGAATTTTTACAACAATGTTTTTTTTTGTAGTTGGAAATGGTTGCGATGTCAAATCCTAAGGATCTTAAGAAGCAATTAGTTGTAGAATTTATCGGAGAACAAGGGATTGATGAAGGAGGTGTTTCTAAAGAGTTCTTTCAATTGATCGTTGAAGAAATATTCAATCCAGATTTCGGAATGTTTACTCAGCAGAAAGATACAAATTATGTATGGTAAGTTAGTAAAATATTTTATACATTTTACTTTATGTTAATTTATACAAATGAAATCTATTTAAGGTTTAACACTTCGCCATATGAAAATGATGCACAATTTACCCTTGTTGGTATTTTATTAGGATTAGCAATTTACAACAATATTATACTGGCTGTGAATTTTCCAATGGTTGTATATCGAAAATTAATGGGTGGTGTAGGTACATTTTACGACTTAAAAGATTGGAGTCCAAGTTTATATAGTGGTTTAAAATCGATGTTGGACTATGAAGAAATGGATATGGAAGATACATTTATGCAAACATTTCAAATAAGATACAACAATGTTTTTGGAGAAGTGGTAGAGCACGATTTAAGACTCGGTGGCAGTGAAATCATTGTAAATCAGCAAAATAAACAAGAGTTTGTTGACTTATATTGTGATTTTCTTTTAAACAAAAGCATTGAAAAACAGTTTAAAGCTTTTAAAAAAGGATTTGAAATGGTAACAGATGAATCACCTTTAAAATTACTTTTTCGGCCAGAAGAAGTTGAAATGTTAGTCTGCGGCAGTAGGGTAAATAAAAATATGATTTTCCATAAAAACTATTTTTAAATAATATTTGGCTTTTTTTGTATATAGAAATTTGATTTCAATGAATTAGAAAAATCTACCGAATACGAAGGTGGCTATAGCAAAGAAACTCAAATTATAAAAGACTTTTGGAACATTGTGCATTCAATGCCTGAAGAAGCCAAACGGAAATTACTTGAATTTACAACTGGTTCTGATCGTGTACCTGTTGGTGGCCTAAGCCGTCTAAAATTATTAATAACACGTAATGGACCCGATACGGATCGATTGCCCACCTCACATACATGTTTTAATGTGCTCCTATTACCTGAATATAATAGTAAAGAGAAATTAGAAGAACGATTACTTAAAGCTATTAACTATTCGAAAGGTTTTGGAATGTTGTAATAAATAATTTAATGTTAATTTATTGAAGACAACAGTAGGTAAAATTAAATTAGCTCATCGTCTGAAAAGTGTTTTTTCTTTATATTTCATATTGTTTCTTTATATTGGTTTTTAAAGTTTTAATCGATTTTCGTATGAGTTCTTAATGAATTAAATTTAAAGTTAACTTTTAGAAATATCAACCAACCATCGTGATGAAATATACTCATTTTTTCATTTAATATATTTTCGAATTTTGTATATAAATTTATAAAATATATAATTTATATATAATTAATTATATAATGTTTTATAAATATATTTAAAAAAATAATTTGTAGTTACAAGTGTATAAAATTAAATTAAGAATGCTTATTCTATCGGCTGCAATTGTGTGGGTTTTGAAATGGATATGTATGAGTGGTACTTAGTAATTTTCATAGAAATTGTATGTTCAATATTAATAAGTGCAAAAATATAAAATTCAAAATGCTCTTATAAAAGATGAAATCAAAGCAAGATCTGTGTTCTATTATTTTATTTTCTTTTGAAAACTCGAAAGAATAATTGATTTTAAAGTACATCGCTTCGCTACACAGACATAGGGTCACAAAACAATAAATTTGCATCATAAAGCATTTTTTCCCCATTCAGGAATTTCGGACGGGTTATAACATATTGTTTTAATATAATAACTACCACACCAAATGCAACATCATTTATTCAAGTAAGTCTATTATAGTTTCGTGGACGAAAATTTGGTCTAAAAGCCCACAATTGTTCGTTTGGTTATACATTGTTATAATCAATACAATTCTATTTTGGAGCATTCTAATCCGACCAACAAAAATAAGTAACCTGAATTTACTATTAGTTGAAATTCGAATAGAACATGGCACGAGATGTAATGCTATCATCAAACCTAAGCACTTATGGAATGGAATGGAATCGACAATTTTTGGACAGGTTTACAAAAGTTGGTTCCATGTGTGTAGCTAGGAACGGTCCATGTTGAAACACCATTCCATATCAAAAAATTGTAAAGTAAAAATTGTAAAAACCTTCTATCATCAATCCTGCATACGTCCCATGCTTATTTCTCTTAAATTTTATGTTTTTGACTTTATTAATTCACTAACATTGCAAACAGTTGAAAAGGGATGAAGTGCATCATATAAGTCCCATCTGTGTAGCTCTGTGCATATCGGGGAAGTAATACATTCATTTATTTATATTCTCAACGAATCATATGAGCTTTTTCTTACTAAATTCTTTAACTGTATTAAATTTAACAAATAGTTAACGCGTGATAACTAAGTAAATTTCAGGAGTATCAAAATAGTGTATTCAGCTATTACGGGACCTGCTATTGCGAATATAAAACTTTTTTATAACTATTAATTTTTATTTAAAAATTATAATAATAAGTTTACAGTATCACAATTAACGCTAACTTGCAATTAATGCGATTATAGTGTACCAATCTGTCGCATTTATTCCTATGCCCAGTACAATTAACAATTTTTTACCATAATAGAAAATCACATTGGACACATTCACAGATGTTTGCTATATGTACCCACTTTCAACTTTCTAGTTACTTGTCGTCTACAGAGTTTTGTCGTCTACTTCTTCTTGGTTCACACTTCAATAATCGAATGAATGTAATAGTACATTCACATTGTCTCATTTAAGCGATTTTGCTTATTATAATCACTAATAAGCATGATTTACCATACAAAGAGCTTTCATATAAATAAGTTCATTATAATGTGAACGCTTCTTCATTTATATAAATGAGCAAGTGCCTAAATGAGACAGTGCGAACATAGTATAATACAGGCTCTATATATTGCGTAATTTTTATTAATTAAAGGTTGTTGAAAAGTAAAGTAATAAATTTTTATTATACACTACAATAATAGTAAAAAAATCTTTGTTGTTATTTTTAAAAATTCTTTTACTTAATAAATTGTAAATGAACGTCTGTTATGAGGATAATGATTATATTACTTAATATTAACCATAATGTTTTATCAGAAAGGTTTCGAAAAGTAGTGGACAACAACGAAAATTTATTATTATTTATTTATTATTATTTATTATTATTATTATAAATTATTTAATTAATTGTCTTTTTGACTGACCAAACTTGTTAGACATGTTATCTTATACGGCGTTTACATTGGCCGAAAATGGCTCATTTTGGTCAAAAATCGAAAATGAGTATCGAATGGCTCATTCTTGCATATAAAATTTCAAGCACAAAATGAGCAATTTTCTCACATTCTGTATGAATGACGTTCGAATGCATTCCACATATGTTCCAAATGCAAAGGAATCTATTGAACATACCCTAAATGAAAGCTCTTCATGGCATTTTGACAGTTTGTAAAAGCTGTTTTGACATATTTACAAAAAAAGATAAACAAATGTTTAGTAGTTTTATTTCAGTTTGAATTGTTACCATGAGAACGAATGAAATACAACGAATGTAAACACTTTCAAATGAGTCATTCAAAATCAGCCATTTTCGGCCAATGTAAACGCCGTATTAAATGAAGATTGCAGATGATTTCACTTTCCAAAATTCACTTATCAAAAGTATTGGTAGATATCTATGATAGTCGTAATATTAATGCATGTAAAAAAAAATTTTTTTTCATTTGTAGGGTAACAAAATAATCGTTTAAAATTACATTAACATCTGGCATGAATTTGCAATTTATTAAGTAATACCACAAAATACACCACATGGTGAAAATATTTCACATATGATATTGTTTTACTCCAATGTGGTAACACTGTTTGTAAAGCACATATGTTTTGTTTATAAGAAAATTTGTTGTTATTAATTCATATAAATAAACAGAGATTTTGGAGCTCATTCGTGCTACTGTATTCGACGGGTATTGACTGTATCGCGTCGTCCAATTAAAAGTTTTGTGCGGTTGTTTGTTGGTTTTTATTCATATTTTGAAAAACGTTCCATACTATAAAATGCAATTGTAAAAATAAACCGCGGAAAAATAAAAGTAAACATAAAAAAATGCAATTATTCGGCTTCTTTTGGTTATTGTTTACATTGTGTTATTGTTCGCAATCGTTCGCGGAGGAGAGTGTGAGTTCAACGGATGCAGGAATCGGTATGTTGCAACATTTTTGTTTATATGAAGAATTCTGTTTTATTTCCAACGAAATGAGATCATACATAATATTTCTTTATTGGTTACTATATATATGCGCTTTTTTAATTGCAATAAAATGTAAATGATACAAACCGCATTCGAAGTGCATTTGTGTTTAGAAGAATGCACTTATCAGTAAAAAATTTTTCCAGTTACCAGTAACTATCCCCAAAATAAATGTGTACATTATTGTTGCCATATATTATCCTGGCGTTTATTAAGTGATTGGAGGGAAGTTTATAATTTTAGATAAAAATACTATATAATTCTATAATTATAATTATAATTATATATATACTATATAATAATGACGTACTGATATGTCTGTTACTAGCTAGTAAAGTGCCTGATATTTATAATAAAAGTATATAAAATTTAGAAATCGATATATAAAATATCCGTACATATTCACAATAAAGTAAAAATGTTAAGAATAAATAAGTTTAGATATAAATCTAAATAAATTATATTGCCATTTCTGTGGTTTATTTTCCATAAACTAATTAGTTTACTAGTTTTGCTAATACGTATACAGTTTTAAATCGATCTCATTAGTTTTTGATAAATTTGTAGATTTTTTTATTTAAAATTTATTTGTATAAAAAAAGACATAAATTTTTTTAAGGTTTGAAAATAAATATTTCCATACTGGAAATAATAAAATGTATTATGTAAATTGCTGTATAATCGTAATTAAATACGTTTTTAAAAGCGACCATTTGCGTCCTATGCAAATTTTTGAATCGGCATACTTTGTAACCTTGAAAATAAACATAAAACTTTTCTTTTAATTTTGTAGGTTTTTATAGAAATTTAGTTTATGACTGTGACAATAAATACCTTTTTTTTTTAAGTTTAAAATATATACAAAATATATAGAATATTACAGATTTGAATACTCTCGTTAAAATCATCTAGTTAAGCACTTGAAGAATAACAAACGTTCAACATAAGTTATCATTCGTTTTCACTCATTTTCACTTTCTAAGCCCTGTCTTAAGAAACAATAATAGAATAGAAAAGAATTAAACAGGGTAGCAGCTCCCACTGGAGCGGAGCACTGCGACCATAGTTGATCTTTTGTGCTGCAAGAATGAAAGCCAGAATATCAATCGTTGAGGAGCTCCTAATATCAGCAGGGGAGACTAGTTCTCGACCTAGTGACCTTCTCCAGGCCCAGATCAAGGTTGGGCAGATACAGAGTATGTCACTGGACAATCTATTTCTTCGGGCAGACCTATTTTGTTAAGGTTGTAACGTAGTCCATGATGACCTGTTAAATATGTTAAATGTTCTGCTGAAGAAGGATACTTTACCATAACTGTAGAGATGAATCAGCTCTTTAGCTTGATGGTTACCTGGAATGTCGCGCCAGTAGCGACTTCTCTCATCTGAAAACCATTTATTAATCAGAGATCTAGTTGTAGACTAACTTAATCCACAATATGGTTCCGGTTCACAGAGTTGAATGGTAGATCCTGACCTCGCTAGACTGTTCGCAAACTCATTACCATTGATTCCTGTGTGACCAAGCAACCAACAAAGCATCACTTTATTTTTGCTTGCCAACTGGACAGCATGTCATAGCAGTCTAACAGAAGCTTTGAGGAAAAAATAATAATGTAATATAATTCTGTTCTGATCTCTGTTAGTTGTGAATTTGTTATAAAAGAAGTTTTTTAAGGCAGATAATAGCATTATCTGCGTCTGACATAGGTATTTATTTGTTTTCAAATTCTTGAGGCACTTTTGATTGTTTTATGTTCCATACGTTCGATATGTCTAAGCTTAATATTTAAAAAAAGACAAATGTGTACCTACACTGAAATGATCATTATTTTATTTACTCTCCATTGACGGAACTTATTTATAAAGGACGTTTCTAGTAAAGCCACGTACCTGGGAGCATTGAAACGGTACAAAATAGCAGATGAGCTGTTAAAATTATACGACCTTTAAACACAATATTTTCGCTTATTACTAAGTGTTTGTATCAGTAAAATTTTAATAGAGCAATATATACCTATTATAAACCATTATATATAATGGTATTAATACTATTTTAATATTGTTGTGTTTTTTCTATGAGATAGATACATACATCTATATGATGTATATATATACATATACACTATATACATATACACATTATTAATAAAAACTCAACTTATATACCTTTAAACAAAAGGAATACAATCAGTTTGATGTTCTTTTTCAAGTTGGTATTGCTGGTTTGATAATAACTTTCTGGTACAGGTTAAACTTTTCTGTTAATTTAAGAAGTTACTATACCACTTGACAAGAAATCTTATTGAAATGCCACGTAAATGTATCAGTCTAATAGTGGGTATTCTAACGTACCACATACCACTTCTAACGTAATCAAAAAGCTGAGAGATTGAATAATCCCTTTAACGATTCATACCGAACAAAAATAAATATCAAACGAAATCGTTTGATATTTAAAAACGGGCTCCTTTGGATCCACGTAACAACCCAAACTAATTTACGTAAAGTCGTCTACAGTTGTTCATTAAAAACATATCACTACAAGTATGTGCGATATGCTACATAAGCAGATAGTATTCATAATAATTCAAATATATACATTATAATAAAAGCTTAAGTGTTAATTAACAGCTCTAAAAAACAAAACAAAAAAAAATGGCAGGTACGGAGTACCATGAAAAACAATATAATATATTTAATACATAATAGAATTTATGTTTAATTGTGCCTTTTGGCATTTAATTGATATTTTCATGTTAACTGGAGTTAACTAACATCCAATAAGTTTAATTTGTCTTAAAATTTTTTCAGAGACTGCTATTGCAGAAATATTAGCTGTAACATCTGTAAATGTGGCTATAGAACGTATTTGAAAAAGTTTTGACTTTTTCGAATTAACGAATTTTAGTTAATTTCATACGTCTTAACCAATGTACCGTCATTAACTGCTTTAAAATAATTTTATATAATACTGCTACAGATCTATCAAGTCTATGCGTTTTTTTGGTAAGCCCTTTATACCTAAAATAATTTTTAAAAATGAACGAAAATGATTGAAGATTGTGGTAATATTGAACTTATGGCTCAGCGTAATGAATTTTTAATTAAAAATTAAATTAATTAAATTAAAAATATTTTTAGATTTAAAATTTTTTCTATTTAAATAAAATCTTTTGTAGTAGGACATAAAATTCTTAAATAAAATAATTAAGAACAGGGCACGAGTTCAATCCCTGGTACTTGCAGTCTCAAAAAATTATTTATGAATAATTAAATACAAAAACTAATTCTAACACCACTAATGATTCTGATATTTCGCAATAATCAAAACAGCTGTTGGATCAGAAAAAATAAATTCAATTAATTAAAATAATATAAAAAGATTTTATTTTTTTTTTGTAGTTCACTACTTTTCGAAACCTCTCTATAAAATAATTAAGATATTATTGCAGTGTATCAAATTGTTATTAATTCTAAATTTATGATCACGTTTTTTTGTAATTATAATAAATTTTCCATTATTTATTAATAAATATATTCTTATTAAAATGTATTTTTGTTTTCAGAAAAGGTCAAAGCTTTCACAGTAGCTACAGAACGTACGGATGGATTCCTGAGATATATGCGCTCCGCACGTGTGTACGATATCGAGGTTAGATTTACCTAGAAATTAACATTATTTCTTTTATGGCTCTTAAATTACTTTTTAACTATTAGGAACAAAGATTAACATATAATCTAGATGTACGAAATAGTTAATATTAAATTTATTTCAAACATTTAGCAATAAAGTGTGAATTAAGTATTCAAATTCAATACAATAATACAACAACACCCGTTAGTTAAGTACAAAGACCGGTTAATTTCTCGACTCTTATCATTAAATTGAGAAAAAAACATGTTTCAAAAGTTGAAAAGAACATAGGTAGAGCAATGATTTAAACTCTTTTAAGTAAAAGTTGTTAAAGCGGTTTATGAACCGATTTCATATGTTTATTAGTTTACAATAAAATTAATTAGTTTAATTAATTTAAATTTATTTAGCTCGACTCGATTTGCGTAAGAAACTTTTTATTTGAAACATCAATAAAAAAATCAAGATTTTTCTTCTTACTTAGAAACACTGATAATATTTTGTTGGTCAGCTATCAATTGTTCATGCGACTGTATCTGTGCATATAACTTAAACGTTTCTCCATGCATCCGGCCTACTTGGTATTCGGACAACACATTCTGAACATGTGTGGATTCTTATTTCATGTTCAGTTGATTAATTTTACTTTTTTGTTTTGAATTTTTCTTGTTAAAAGTTCTAATTTTGTTATATTGTATTTGCTATCATCACTTCTTGAATATACAACCAAACATAGGCACATCTGAATGAGAACATATTTCGTACAATGTATAATATAGTTTATATATTATATTATGATTTCTGTTTTCCTTATATTTTTATATGACTTCGTCTCTTTTGTGGTCACGTAGTCTGCAATAATTTCACTTGAGATTCTCAGAAAATATCAGTTTTATTTGCCGGCCGCTGTTTTTAAATTTCACAATATTTTGATAACCTTTAATATAAATCGTTAGATGGGTTAAATTTCTTTCCTTATCTTTAAAATATTATGCTGCTATTGCTTTTATGTAAAATATATATATGTTTATTAGATTATACTATAAATTAATATAATAAAAAAAATGTTAAGCCTAATTCTTATTTTTATTATTACTATTACATTATTATTATCATATCTTATTATTATTATTATTATATCTTATTATTATTATTTTATCTTATTTTTATTATTATACAATCAAACTTTCATAACTCGAACTTCTATAACTCGAATTTTCTATAACTCGAACTAAAAAGAGTGCAAAAGAGAGGGTTTTAGAAAGCAAATTACAATCTGCTTTTATAACTCGAACTTCTAAATACGAATAAAAATATTGTCTCGTGCCAATAGGAATATGAGAAAGTACGTTCTATTAGTCGAATTTTTGTTTTAAGTTTGAATCCATTTTAGTGTTAGGGGAAGTCTGTTTTTCCAAACCAAATGTTTAATTTATTCTACCTTATGTTGATACTTTGTGCAAAGGCCAATCGCTTACAACGTGATTTAAGGTAAATCAAAATAGCTTCCAATGCTACTCTTAACGATTATATTGTGCTAGTCAATGAATTTTGTAGATCAACCTTTCCTACGGATGACGATATTATTGAGCATTATAGAGCTCTGAATTAGTGAATCCGATTCTAAGCGCAACGAAAAGTAATGATGAGAATTCGGTGGATGAAATTGTTCTACAGGCTTTTAAGAATGAAGTCATTCAAAGTCATTTAAAATTCTGAATTTTTATTTGCAAACAAATGATACTACAACTGATGATCACTATAAGGCTTGAAATAAATTGGAATCTCTAGGACAGTTGTTGCTACACGAGGATGACGTCTTTCTTTTTGGGAAATTTAACCTATTGAAAAATTTGTTACAGTATAACCGTGGCCTCGTAAAGACTGTATATGTACGGTGGATAGATATCGAGATATCCATAATATGGAGAGAGGAATTGACAAATAGATCTTAAGGGGATGGCGATATTTATTGGAGCGCAGTTGATTATGCTCTTATACAAGAAACATTTTTAATTCTACGGCACGATTTCGTTAACAGCTTTGGTAAGATTGTGAAGCTAAAGGATAATAATTTTAAGTGATTAAGCCACTGTATCCTATATATCTATCATAAGCACGATTGAAGCCGTAACAAAGCATGTTTCCGAGCAAAACAACAGAATACTTTTCATAAAAGCATTAAAAATTTGAAGTTTATTTTTAAAAAATATACATTTCCTCTCCACATCTTAAATCAGTATAGAGCAGAAACGCAAGCTCTAGTTCAATAAAAGCCATATTAAAACAGTGGTATTTAGCACAATAAACTCTCTGAAGTGTCATCTATAGTATTCCTAACTAAATAATAATATCAATAATATTAATAACGATAGTAATATTCATAATACTAACAATATTATTAAAAATAATAATAATATACCGATAGCTTTCATTAGAGCATCCAAGTCAATAGTAATGGGGTAGTGTGTCGCTGTCCTACACTGTTGATAGACAAATTTGGTTCGCTTAGAGGGCCACAACTTAGCATGAACAACCGTCATAAATGCTTTTTATAAAGGTAGGTAATCGAATTATGACTGCCCCGGACGGAATCATTTTTGATTTTATTTGACATCTGTTTAGTGGTTTTGGAACTCAAGTCATGATTATATATTTTTTTAATTACTGGCCATAACAATATTTTCTGTTAAGTGAAATAATTTAAATTAACTTTAGTCGCATACAATATATTATGTTTCATACTGGACTGCTGTGTAATTTAGCTCTATTCAAATAACAATAGATTTTGTTTATACTGCCCATATTTTTGTATATTGTAACATTATACTGCATTGAAAGTAAATTATCCATTTTTTTATTGTCTTATTTAAGCTAAGCATAGGCTACCCACAGACAGAGCTAACAAAGTCATGATTTAGTTATTCCTACTCCAGTTTCTTAAACATGTAAGACACAAAGTCAATCGATTCTAACTTCGTGAATAATTTCATTATAAGACATTCTTTTTAATTACATAAAACATCAAAGAAGATAATCATTAGTTTTTTTGCTTTGTTGTATATAAATAAATTAAATCCGTTAATCATCTAAATTTTGCTTTCTTTTTGCTTTGTTCACAGCGTGTATAACTCAATACTAAATAACCATAATTGCTTAATTATAATTTTTGACTTGTTCTATCGAATATTTGCATAATAATCGTAATAAGTAGACAGTATTCAAACATTTATCGCAGTTTATTTCTTCATAAATATCTTATTTATCATCTAGATTTAATTTAATAATGAAAAAAATAGTCGCACTTATAAAAAAATTTGCAATTTATTTAATTCTATGATTCATATATTTTTTATATGTATTTTGAAATATTTTATATAGATTTGAGAAAGAATATCAAAATTTAAGTATACATAGTTTGTTTTTATCTATATTTAACTTCTATTACAAGATAACAAAAGAGATAATGATCAAAAGGCAACTGGTATCCATATTTATATAACGTATAAATTTATTCATACTAATTAGAATTTAGTTACTTATGCAAATTTAATTTAACGTTAGCATAATTCTTCACTATTGAATAAGTCCTCGTTTATGCCTTGATCTCTATGTATTTCTACTGAATATTAGTTACAGAACAGGCTTACTTTGCTTTGCATTGAGTTGAAGAATATTCTACATATAACAAAGTATAATTTAGAATACTTCGCGCCAAGGAGTTCTGGCTTTTATAACATGCTTCTCTCAACAGAGCTTTGAGTCCAGAGCATTTTCGGTTGGTTAGAATATTGTATAGTTTTATTGTATTGTATATTACTACTAAGTATAATCTTTGCTATTATAAGGATTTATTTGCTACTATTTTATTTATGATTAAGTTTGTTTATCATCTGGTTTCGTATTATTTAAGTTGAAAAATTTTTTCAGCTATCAGACCAACCACAATAAAACGCTTTTATTTAAAAATTTTTAGAAGCAGATATTTCGTTCTTTATTTTAGAACATCTTCAGTGCTTAATTTTTTAATAAAAAGCTTAACTTAAGGTTTATAAAATTACAATTAAAAACAATATATACGTATATGTTACTTTACGTATATATTGTTTTTAATTGTAATTTTATAAACCTTAAGTTAAGCTTTTTATTAAAAAATTAAGCACTGAAGATGTTCTAAAATAAAGAACGAAATATCTGCTTCTAAAAATTTTTAAATAAAAGCGTTTTATTGTGGTTGGTCTGATAGCTGAAAAAATTTTTCAACTTAAACTATTTTATTTAGCTCACCATGTCTTTGCTCAGTTAATACATCGCAGTGTGCCAGAAGTAAAATTATGGTAAATGATCAAAATTCGGTATTTTTTATACTGGTAGAGATATTCAACTAAAATTGGGCCCATAAATTTAGACCTAAACATTGTCAATTTTTCGATTTTTTTTTTGAATATCTCAAAAACTATAATAGGTAGAAGTATAAAATTTGGTTTACTTGTATTATATAAATAAGGTTTAGAAATTTTCTTTTATATTCTAATTACTGCAACAACCACTTTTCATGAATTATTTATAAAAATATTTTTATTATTTTAAAAAAAATGTTTCTTCTAATACAACCTCGTGCAAAAAATGGGAGTGTGTCACTTATTAGTTTTTAGGTTATTCACTATTTTATTACATTTTTACTGTTAATTAAAAAGATTTATTTTTTCTGTTTTTTAATCCTTAGAATATAATTATTAATTATATGTATTTAAAAAAGTATTCACTTTTAATAAATAGTAAAATATAATATAATATAAAATCAGTCATATTTTATGGTCTCTTTCACTTCTTTCTGTGATACACAAAAAATGTATCCGAGTTTTTCAATAATCAATGTTGAAGCTTTCCAAAAATTAAAACCTATATCACTTTGTTTTAATACCTATTTCGGGCGTTTGATTTCACTGAAAGCTATGCAGAATATAACCTTGAATAAACCTCATATATATATATAAAAAACCAATAAGTAATATGTAATATAACAACACATGCTATTTTATAAATATTTAATTTGCTTATATTTCAAATTTCAAGCAAATCGGTTATAAAAAACCAAGGTTATTACACATTATGTTCAGGCGTATGTCCTGCAGTGACAAAGGTTGCAGTAATATAGGCAAAGAAAATCCTACGTATATGAAAGATAAAGAATATTTCTCTGAGATATTTATATACAACTTAATATTTGACTCTGAAGAATCTATATGCAAGATACAATGTAATTATTTTACAAAAGAATACCTTATCAAAATTTTTTTACTTCGAAACTTTTTCTATTTTATTTACTATCCGAATTTTTTCTACTTCAAAACTTTTTCTATTTTATTTACTATTTGATAAACTAGATATGTAGTCGAAAGTTTGCTTCGGAACTAAAATTGATTAGATGGTATTATTGGATTGATGGTATTGATTAGATGGTATTTTAATAAGCAGTGTTTTAAATAGTTGAGAAAGAACGAACAGTATGTCACTTCGTTAAGGATTCATTCAGCTTGGAACCCATACTGAATTCAGCAATTTTCTAAAATTATGGTAAATATAAAAGGTGGGCTATGTGCCCATTAATTTATAAAAAGTGGTAGATTTTGTACATGAGCGTACCCAAAAATGAAATTAGGAAATGGTTATAACTCAGAAGTATGGCGATCAAACGCATTACAGCAAAATATTGCGTCAGATCTTGGGTCAGATCTGTTTTACTATATGGATGCGAAACGTGGCATGCAGCGAGTGTTGTTACAACGAATATACAAGCGTTTAACGATAGATGTTTGCGTACAATTTAAAGAATCTGGTACCCTAGAATAATAAAAAATAGTCAACTGTGGCGCATTATCGATGGAAAAAGCGGTACGTCTTCGAAAGTATAGATGGCTTGGGCACACTCTACTTGAGGAAACAAATGATATTATACACAGTGCAGTTTCGTGGAATCCTCAAGTCCACAAAAATAGAAAACAACCAAAAGTTACACGGCGTAGAACAATCATAAATGAAACATCAAGAAATATAAATGAACTGTGATTTATGACACGAAATCATCAACTTTTGAAAAACTTTGTTACGAATTTATGTGAATAGGCTAAGTTCTATATATTAACTGTATTGAACATGCTTATAATAATATTAATAATAACTCAGAAGAGGGGAGTGTAGCATATAAAACTCCTTTTTCTATGCTGGACCACATATTTCAAGAGCATCATAAAATATTTAGATATGGAGAGGGGACGCTATTTGTGTGCTTATGCGTTTGCGTTTTATACAGTTTCCTTGGCAAGTTCTGTAAATTTCTGATGCAATAATCTCAAAGTTGGTTCCTTGTTTTATTTTTAATTTAAAAATTTTCTCTACATTTTCTATATCAGTAAACATCATAATTATTAATATACATTAGTATATATAGTATATAGGTATATATATAGATTTAGCAATCATGTATTAATTGTACATTTTTGTGTTAATTATTGGTGATATATATATAAAATCATACAAGATTGTTATAGAGCTGAGATCCAAGGTATCATATTTTTATTTTTGTTTTAATATTATTATATATAATATACTATAAATATTATTAATACATATAACGAAAACAAATGGGCTCAATATTAATATAAAAAATTGTAATTTTTTAGGTTTCTGCTCTAGGGTTAGATCAAGAATGGAAGGGTGGTGATATGAATAAACCCGGTGGTGGTTTCAAAATAAATTTATTACGGCAAGCCATAAAACCTCTGAAAGATATGAAGGATACAATAATCTTATTCACAGATAGGTAAGATTGTTAAACAATAATTTAATGTAATATATAACATAATAATTCATTTAATTTTAGTTATGATGTCGTTTTTACATCTACCATATCGGATATAGTTCAGAAATTTAAAGAAACTGGAGCTAAAGTGTTGTTCTCAGCAGAGAAATATTGTTGGCCCGATGTAAGTTTAGCAGAAGAGTATCCAGAAGTGGAACCAAAAGCTTCAAAATATCTCAATTCTGGCGCTTTTATGGGTTATGCTCCACAAGTGTATGCATTACTTGAGCAACCATTAAATGATTCTGATGATGATCAGCTATATTACACCAAAGCATTTTTAAACAAGGATGTACGTAGCAAACTTGGAATACAGCTTGATACAAAATCTAAAATTTTCCAAAACTTAAATGGTGCTAAAGATGATGTCAAACTAAATGTCGACTTAGACTCCAACGAAGGTGTTTTAGAAAATATTAATTTCATGACAAAACCAAATATAATACATGGAAATGGACCAAGCAAAATTGAATTGAATGCCTTTGCTAACTACTTAGCTAAAACGTTTAATAGTAAATGTTTGATTTGTCAAGAAAGGCAGGTGGAACTTGATGTATGTAAAAAGATAAATCATTTTCCTTTATTAATATAACTTTTTGTAATTTTTTTCCATAGGAAGATAATTTGCCAATCATAACACTAGCCATTATGATCACACAACCAGTGCCTTTCTTTGATTTGTTTTTAAAGTACATCGAAAATATAAATTATCCTAAAAAAAGTTTACATTTATATATATACAGCAGTGTTAGTATTATTAGAAATATATTAAAGAAATTCGATTAAATTAATTAATATTTTTTATATATTACAGCAATTATTACATGAAGATCTTGCTAAGTCTTTTTTGAAACGTTTGGATAATGAATACATATCAACAAAAATAGTGCTTAAAAGTGATGAGCTTGATGAAAGACGTGGACGTCAGCTGGCACTGTAAGTATATATAGTATGTTCAGATATAACTAATTATATAAAAATAAATAACATTAGTTTAATAAATTAATTAAATGCAGTTTATTCTCGGTTATCGCAACAATTATAGCACTTATTGAGTTATTAGGCTTAGCGAGAATAAATATATGAAGTATTCTCGCTAATATATGAAGCATCTTCGTTCCTGAAGTAAATTAAAATTTATTTCCATACATTAGTCAAAAGACAGTTAAGTTATCTTAAATTAAAATCTCTAATTGTTTACTTAAGATTTGAACTTTTATTCTAAAAAGACTCATTAATGAAATTTTTTTTTGATAATAAAGTTTTGAATTTTTGCTTAAAAATGTCGCTGCAATTAGGTATCATGCCATGCCTTTTGGATGACATAGTGTGTTATCCACAATTATGAAGTTTCTTTTAGGAAAGAAGGCAACAAAAGTTGCATTTATTTATGTTTTCTGAACAGTTGCACTTATAAGATACAATGATTTTTCGTGCAACTTCAGATAGTTGCAATAACTGCAATATTGTGGTTAGTAGGAACATAGTTATATTAGGCTATGATCATATAATAATGTGATAATATTGTTGACAAAAACAAAACTTCAGCATCGAAAAAGTATGTAAGAAAGTTATGCTTTCAATATGTTAGTTATTTATGTATTTATTTTATTATTTAATAGATTTTTTTTAATTTTTCTACACAAAAATGCTTTATTTTAAGGCAACAAGCGAAACAAAAGAAGAGCGATTATATATTCTTTGTTGATGCAGATACCCATATTGATGATCCAGAGTTATTGCGGGAACTGTTAATTATGAATAAGTAAGTTTTGTTGTTAAGAAGTTAATATCGTTTATAAAAAAAATATCTTATATTTTTTGTAGACAATTTATAGCACCTGTAATTACCAAGTATAAAGAATTGTGGAGCAACTTCTGGGGAGCATTGTCTGATGGTGGATATTATGCGCGCTCTCATGATTATGTAGATATTGTTAAATTTTCAATTGTGTAAGTAAATCCAATTTTTCAATCTTAAGATACACTTGGATATATAAATATTAATAAAAAATATAATATATAATTGTTCTACTATAAATAGAGTATTTTTAAAACTTAAGTATAAAATATGTATAAACTACTGTAAGTGATACTTTTTAGTTTAACTATACTGATTAATATAGAGATGTTGTTGTTGTAACCCGACGGGATCTGATTAAAATAGAGATCGTTTGTTTATTTTCATGACTCAACAGAAATATACACATTTTAAAGTCTATGATTATATGCTGAAAAGTCCATTTCTGTCACAAGTGAATGTAAATCCTTACCAGTTATAGTATATGCCTATTCAATATAATATATATATCTTTTAACATAAAAATATAATAAGATAATGACATAATAATGCTGTGGATAAGTATTTAGTATTTTTTTTATATTTCTTTAAGCTTTTTATTTTTGCAGTTGCTTCGGCCATATAAATCAATAATATAAATCATAATAATATGTATAAATATGTACAATATATAAATTGTACATAAAATAAATCATTATATGCTTTTTATTTAAAAAAAATATATAAATCATCGTATAAATCATTAATATGTACAATATTACTTTAAAATATACATATAATATTTTTATAATATTTTTATAAGCACCAATTTTGTGGTATCTGTAATAGACACTAGTTTAGTCTTTCCCTTTAGTAAGTCTTTCCCTTTAGTAAGTTTCCCCTTACCGACATGAGTTTCCTATTCGTATTTTCTTTTTTGAAATCATTGTGAATAAATCGAATGAGCATTCAACAGACTTTTAATGGAAGTGGTACATAGTAACTTGTGAGTTGTTTGGCTCACGTTCTGCTGAATGCATTGCTGGTTTTATTTTTTTTAAATTTTGTTACTCTATTGCATTTAAATAACAACATGCTAACAATAATTGATAACAAAATCAACTGATTAAGCAAACAAATTAAAATGGTATGTGAGTAATATATAAAGCTATATACAGTTGATGCTATCACTCTATTTTAAATATCCGCTTCGCAACCCTAATAGAAACTGGAAAGATCCATATGCGATAATTGCATATGAAATAATAGCAAAAAATAACAAAGACTCCTGTGGCGTTGAAGTGGATCACAATTTTCGATGCAAGATACGAAACATTTGAAGTCAGAAATAACAGCATAGGTTATATTTATCAAAAAAAAAATTTCCCTTTTGCTATTTGCGTCTTTCTAATACGTAAATTATTTTTGTGTATGTGATAGTCAATACAGTATCTTCACTTCTTGAGACGAATCAAAATTACGACAGTAAAATCGAAAAAAACGAAAGTTATGTAAACATCCTCTTAAGATTAAAAACTATCAGAACCACTCAGTATACCGTTTTAAAGCTAACACAAAAAAGGAAATGTATAGCCAAATAAAGAAAATTATAGAAATATAAACTTAGTAAAATAAAATTATTATTAAAACGGCTGCAGTTGTTGATGCTTAGGTTAGGTTAGGTTTCTGGGGTCGGCCGAAGACGTATTTAGACCATGAGGTCCATTGTGATACCCTTAAGAATTTGACACTTGTCACTATAACCATTCAGTACTAGCCTCAAAGCCATTGACACGAGCTAATGAAATAGAATTTAGTTCTCTTAGTGAATTGAAAAAATGCGACCCAAAGTAAGAGAGTCTATGTCTTGCGAAAGCAGGACACTGTAACAGAAGGTTTATTGGTGATTTCTCTTCGTCATCCTCCATGCAATGTCTATAGTGCAAGGAGGTCCTGATGTTTATGATAAACGAAATTTGATTGAGCTTTGTTAAAAATAAAAATTATTATTGTAATAATTTATTTTCTTAAATTTAATCTTAATATATTAATATAAAACTATCACTTTTAATACTAAATATATAAATAACCTTATATTCAATAATTAATTTAAAATTTACTACCACAATTATAAACGTTTTCTAATTCATATTCGTATCCAAAGTATAGTAAACACATACATACATTAGTAATAGCTTCGATATGCTATATGCTTCGATAACATATATGTTATAAAGGCAAAAATTTTGTTTTGAGAATTAGTTATCGAACCGATCACCAAGAGCCAAAAAAGTCTCCTGTATTTTTTAGTAACGAAATAGCTATCGTTTCTTACCCATTTGTACTTTTTAAAATGGTTCATCATTTTTAAAAGTTTCACCAGCTACCATACTAAAAGGCAAAAATTGTAATAAAAATATTACTATATGTTATTGTTATATATTTACTTTACTCGTTGAACGGCTCATGCTCTAATGTTCTATGAACTTATCCAATGTATATAGGTACTTTTATGGTTATCCAATGTATATACTTTTCTGATTATTTCATAAAAGAAATTTGAGCGTTCGTGCTGCAATTTTTCCTTTTTAAAATGCCAATATAGCACGTTAACTGGCTTATCGTTGACTAACTGCATTTTGTAAGCCGGGATTTTATAGCATTGGTGGATGGGAGCGTAATTACCATTAAGTCTCTAAATGATGAGGCATATCATAACGACTTATATGGTCGTTATATGACCAAACTCAACAACCATTAATTACTCATCAGGTTTTTAATAGGTTTAATAGGTTTTTAATGTAGTTTTTTTAATAATAAAATAATAATAATGAAACAAATATGGACATGTACTATACAGCTCATTATTAATGATAAATAAGCACCGTCTGTCAAGGTATTATTAAAATGATCATTTAAGTATCCTTAATGCTCATTTCTTACTCTAGTCTGTCAAGGGTATAAGCGTACTTTATGATATTTTATGGTCCCGGCTGTTAATGCTATTTTAACTACAATGTTATAGTTAAAAACTGTTAAACGTACTGTCTTCTTTGTATAAAATTAATATAATTAAATTGTTTTTATTAAAAAAAAAATAAAATGATCGAAATTTGCTTTTTCAAATAAAAACCCTTAAAACTATTTAGGATTATCAATACATGTGATATAACTAAATTTATGTCACATCGACTTCTTTGATAGCTGGGGGATTTCTGCAGAGTCCCACCAATCTCACTGACTAATTTGTGTATTCCTCATATGCTTTGTGATTATTCAATGACTGATCTAAGATCTGGGTACCGACCCGTGTGGTTAGTAGTTACTCTGAGATTAGACAGTGGTTTGACCGGATTTATTCTAAGGTCTTTTAGCAAAAGTTTTGTATATGGTTGTTAACTATCCACATAATTTATGAATGAAATAAGAACTGTAATCAATTTATTTAGTAACAAAATATTCTTTTATTGATTAGAACTAAAAACAATTTAGAATTATAGTATTTGGACAAAAATACAACTGTAATTGTAATAATTACATTTACTAATCAAATTAATCGAAAGCAATTGAGAAATCAGTTTTGAAACTGCGGCGATCAATAGAATACATATTGTCAGCAGTACATTCATATAGTCCTGCATCCATTTGTGTGGCGGGATCAATTTCAATTTTGGATTTAACCTTATCTTCACCAATGCGCCATTCATGTACCTTCAATAATGAATAGTAGTAAATATTAAATATAAAAATAATAAAAATGTATAAATGCTTCATTACACTTACATGCATATAAAGATGTTGAAAGATTTCGGTACCATCTTTATACCAAGTAATATGTGGACGTGGATTTCCTTTAGCCACACACAGAAAAGCAATTTTATGTCCTAAAACATATTCATAATCAAAATGTGATGCCTGCAATATTTTTGCACCCTAATAAAAGAATTGGAAGAGTCTTACTTTATATATACGTATATACTTCGTAAATAAAATGTGTATAAATTGTGATATACTAACATTGTTGTTGTTATAATACTGATCTGATTCTGGATCACGGTATTTACCGGTGATGGGTAAACCAATTTGCACCTATTTGAAAAATATATTATTTGTTAAAATCCATTTTTTATTTAAAATATTTTTAAATATGTACTCTTGACTTGGTGCGACCTCTTCCACGACCACGACGTCCTTCGCAAATTTGACAACCAAGTATTAATATGCCAATACATATGGCAACCACTTTTAAATTCATTGTTTAATTTTATTTTTTGATAAATTTAATCCGAAACACAAAATATTTACAATGAACTTAGCAAAGAAGGCTAGAGTGCCAACACGTCTACGCGCTCTACGCTCGCCTCACGAATAGCTTCCACCTTAAATTATATTTTGCAACTAAATGTAAATTTCAGCATTAAATTTTATAATATTTGCCCGAAATGACAATTTTTTGGTACCTATATAATATTTCAACTAAGTTAACTGATCTAAAAAAATGCAATAGCAATTGAGAAGTGTACTCTACAATAGTACTTCCATATTTTATTTTTATTTTGTATCTGGTGCCACAATAGATTTTGTATGAAGAGATTTTTCAAATTCTTTTTCGAAATAAAATCATATTAAGAATCTTGTTACTTTCTTACTTTACGAGTCTGTCGAACTGCTTGAGATGAGCCTTTTCCCTGCAATTAATCATTAATGGTAGTGATGATTTAACTTTGAGAATTTTGCACTACGATATAGAATAGTATTGTGTTCATTTCATGGATCCAGAGAATTTCTCCAAGTCCAATATTCTCAATAAATTGTAAATTGTATAGTATCGAGCAAACTTCTAGCACATGTTTTATCGTCTCATTCTCTTGGCTCTACAAGTTTCAGTAGAATAAAATGTCGGACTTCTATAATATCATATAATACTTTTTTTTCTTCAACTCACTGTAAACTTTATATTTTATCTAAGAAATCTAAAAGTTTTATCTAAGAAATAAACAATTTTATTATACAATACTTATATTATTATGTTGAGTCAGTGCACTTGAGTACTTTTACTTTCTATTAACTTCGAAGTTTCTTCATAACCCCTCTCTATGCCATGAGTGGATTATTGTTTATCACTTCATCAGACTAAGCAATAATTGACCTCAGATCTGCATACCTCCTCGAAGAGCCTGTATATATATATATATAAATCTATAATAACAGATTTTTTAAATATATGATTTTTTGTTTAATAAGAATTTTTTTTTTCCTCTATCATAGATGGGTTTCCAATAATAATGAATAATTGTATTGAATCAAATTTAGAATCGAATACTTTTTAAGAATTATAGGTAGCTTAAAAATAATCTGGGTTTTATTTCAGTTATGACCGATTTTAGCTGATCTCTAATTTTGCATGGCATATAACAGTGATAAGTGATATGCACTTTACACAATTTATTTTTGTTTAACCCATTTAAATTTAGCATCATAATCTCGAATTCAGTGGTACTCTTGTACCTCTAACGTTCATAATACGCATACAACTGTTACGCTGGGAAAGTCCGCGAAAATAATATTATAAACATATATACATAAATATGTGTACAGTTATATATTATCTTTTATTGGTTGATTAACATCATTGTCACCCCTTCCGCATTAAAATTGTTTCATATTTTGTCGCGGTTAATAATATTGTGTACATTATAGAACAGTGGAACTTATAGATTTTAAATATTATCTATTTATTTCAAGATCACGCATCTTTTTTGGACAATCTTTATAAAACATAGATTTCATAATTTTAAACTTATATTTGCATTCTTTAGGCTAGTCTTTCCCAAGTTTACGCGTATGACCTATGAGTAAATAATTTGAATGTTAAGGCGGCAATTTAAAATTGCACTTTTATATAAATCAATCATATTAAATTGGGAATAAATCATCGTCATTATAATGTCGAGAATGTTTTGATTACTCAAGAGAAGTAACAAGTATGCATACTTGTGCTGTGAACTGTGGTGGATTTGGAGAATATAGTTGGATAGATATTTAATATTTTATCAGTATGCGATTCAATTAAAAAAAATATAAATGCTTTTAAGAAAAAAATATGTTGCTTTACTGAAAATGTAACGTTTACATGGGTTTCGTATAAAAACCGAAAAATCAACTCGCTTTGCAATCAATGGGCATCACATCGTAGACACCGAAAACTTTACTTACTTAGGGAGTGTTCTATCGGTGGATGGGGATGCGAAAAAGGACATCAATAGCCGCATTCAAAAAGCGCAAGTATTATTTGTTAGGTTGCGCAACATATAGCGGACCCACAATATACGTACCAACACAAAGCTAAAAATTTCTAACGCATGCGTCAAATCGGTATGTCTGTATGGATCGGAAACTTGGCTTGCTAACACCGAAATCGAAAGAAGACTACACTCATTTATCAATCGATGCCTGCAAAACATATTAGGCATATAGTGGCCTAGAACGATTTTAAATGAAGAGTTATGGAGAATAATGCACCAAACAAACGTAAACAACGAGATAAGAAGAAAGAAGTATGGTTGGATTGGACACACACTGCGTAAGTCTTATGAAGATATCGTGCATACGGCACTTACTTGAAGCCCCTAGAGGACTACATGCAGAGGCAGACCAGCAACGACCAGGAGAATTACAGTTCAACAGGAGACGAGAAAATTGTTTAATTGTTGAGAGCAATAGCACAAAATAGAAACCAGTGAAAAATTTATGTAGACTTCTTAAGCTGATAATGAAGTATGGAAATAATAATAAAATGAAACTCAAAAATTTTAAAAATACTGTCTTATCCAAAAATAATCCAGTTATTTCCTATTTCAGGTTTTCTAGTATGCAATTTGTTGTTATTCACTGAATTCATTGTTGTTCTCAATTAAGAGGGTTACAGCAATATTTTCTATTAATAATCTTCTAAATTTTTTTAATAATATTGTGATCTTATCCAGCTGTGCCCTATATATATCCTTATATAAGGAGTAGGGAAATAAGTGTGCGCTCTCTACCAAAGATATGTCACTAATATCTATATTATTAAAACTTTTAAATATCTTTTTTTTTCAATGGAGTAAACATCCATTCTTGTGTTTTAACTTGTTTTTGGTATATAGACTACATAGTTATATACTCGTATTATTATTAAATCTATACTTTAAAAAAAAGAATAGAAGATAAGAACAAAACTTCAGTTGACTTCTTTAAAGTTGAATTTTTTTAGAGTTCGATTTTTTCTTCATCAGCAGAATTCCTATTATTCTTGACTTCTTGTTAGTTATAATAAACAAATCATAATAAAATTTTAACCAAAAAAATATTTAAAGTAATAAGTTTTTTACATTTCAGTATTAATATAGACCTAAGTGTTTTGTGCCACTGTTAAAGGATTTCATATAACCCAACAAAATTCACACAAAAACAAAAATAAAGTGAAAAATAAATATATAAATTGGGTAATTGAGATTATGAACACATGAAGCTTTTTCAATGCAATTTAATACCAAAGAAAAAACAAAACAATATAAAATCAGAGTAGATACTTAAGTATTGTATTTATTTAAATCAATTTAATCAAATTTAATGAATATTTTTGGGTGATTGTACAATTCAAAATGCAAATATTCATTAAAATAAATCATTTACAAAAAGTTAAAATTAATCATGAAACTTTAATTAACAAAAATGTTATTCTTATCTTAATAATTAATCATCACATAGTCTGTACGAAATCCTCGGCGATCAATCGCATAAATATTATCCGCTTGACATTCATAATAACCTTAAGTAAATAAAAAAAATATTAAATAAAACATTAATTAATGAAATAATAAGTAATATTAATAAATTTTAATAAAATAGGGTTCAAATTATTTTTTTTAAATTACATTTGAAGTTTGTTTAAAAAATCAATCTTTGTACAGATGTTACTAAAGTTATTAGAGTGTCGTGGATTATTTCCATTCAATACTGCTTAAATTAAGATATTAACATGAGAAAATATTTGTCAATCGAAAACTTTTGCAATATGATTAATTTTTTCACGAGCAATAATAAAATTAAAGTTAATATTAACTAGTTAAAAAAGTAGAATTCTGCAATATTTTTTTATTTGAGTCTAAAAAATATTATAATTATATAGGTATGACCAATTATTTTAAAATTATAATAACACTGTCTATAGGTAAATGTATTTTGTTTGTGTATTGTATTATATATTTAATTAATATAATTAATTTACGACAAAATAGCCTAGTCCAATAGAATGTTTGCATGACACTCATCAATAGACAACATTATTCCTTTGCATAAGGTTGTCTGTTCAGATAGTTTTCAAAGATTACATAGAATATAGAATATATCCGATATTCTACTATACTTTTTTAATGCATTAATGCACTGGAAATTGTTTGTTTCTTACTTTTGTTTTAATTATCCTTTGACAGTTTACCAGAAAAACAAAATGAAGAAATTATTTCACAATTTCTAATATCACAATCGAAGTTTTTTCTCAGATATAAATTAAGTTTACAAATTTAAAAACTAAAATTTTTAAAAGTAATAATTCTAGTTAAAATTATTAAATCAATAAAAACTTGAGTCACATGTGTAAAAATATGCTATCTGAATTAATTTCAATTGGCAAATCTGGATTTAATCTAGATTTACTCTCGCTCTGTCAAAATTTATTGTTCAAACCATGTGCGAGTTCGAGGTAAAGTAAATTGAAATTTTCTAGAGATTTTTTGCACTGCACTTATGTAAATATTTATTTATTGCACTTATTTATTATTTTTGGTTAAAAGTTTACAAATTTATTTATTAAACATCTTATAAAATTTTCATACAGGTAACACCTAATTTATCTAATTTACCCTACTCAAAATTCTGGTAAATACCAAAATTCGCTGCCATACCGACATAATTTACTATTTTCCTATTTTATATAACCGTTGTTATATAAAACAGTTGATAATTTCAGGGTTATCTTGCTTCTCTGGCAAAATATCTAGAGTGTTATAAGTTAATCTCCACTGTTCTACATTTCGCTCGAGATTTACTAATTGAAAAACAAAATATCACTAGAGCTGAAACTCGATTCAATTAGTTACTACGGATTTACCAATCGAAAACGGCATAAGTTATTATGCATTCAGTAGAGGTTTGATGTGTGCGAGTATTATGATACATGTGTGACTCGACTATACCCGAAATCGAACATTTTAAATGGTCGAAAATGTTCAAGCTACTCGAACAGCTGTTATTTATTTCAATTTCTTGCATTTTGTTTTATATAAATAGATATAATATGAAATATAGGAACACTGTATGATATCCGAACAGTTTCTAATAGGTTGTACTTGAGCCTAATGTTTGTCTTTATCAAAACTGTAAAAGGTTTTAATAACTCGAGTGATATTTGAAGCTATAGTATTCATGTATTTATTAACTGCTACAAATGTGGCATAATTTTTTTTATAATTTTTTTTTTTTTGCGCTCATTTTTGTTATAGCAGATTATTGCAAATATTCTCGCATTACCCCCCAATTTTTTAATGCAATAAACTTTAAAATCTTTCCGTAATTCTTAAGTTTTTAGCGTATTGATACTGGTAATTAATTAATCATTTCTATTGTTTTCAAATTATAAATTATGATTTTTAATATAACTAGTATTATAGTTATGGAAAAATTATTTTATTGTTAAACTAAAAATAAATAATTTTCTTTGTTCCTCTTTTTAATTAATGAATTTTATCCTGCTTATAGAACCAAACTGTATTATTATTTTTTTGAATCTATTAATATATATGACTAAATTGAAAAATCTTTCATTAATGATACATGTAACTATATTTTGCTACGGTAATTTATTTATAGTACCTCTGTTATAAAGATATATATATATCTTTTGTGTATCTTTCATAAAAATAATCGTGTTATACTTTACTAAATTGAAGTAAGCAGTTTTATAATCCGAAAAAATTTCTAAGTTAGTAGCTTAGGATTGGAATTTAAATATTCGTAGAATATTTAACTGATATATATTAGTTCTTACCTGCATCCATTTGCGTAGTTGGATCAATTTCCATTTTTGATTTGGTTATGTCAGAATCTATATGTGATTCATGAACCTAAATAGGATAAGCAATTTTTATATATTTAATATCATAAAACATTTAAGTGTTAAATATTTCCAAAGACCTATATTTATTTTGAAAAAACAACTCGATTTTTTTTGGCAGCGAGTTCTTTTTCTGCATATAGCAGAATATATTTTTTATTATATTTTATATTATATTTAATATTATATTTTATCTTGTATTTTAAATTATTATAGATATTATATTTTATATTACATTTTATATTATATTTCATATTCTATTTTAAATTATATTTTGTATTATATTATATTTTATTTTATATTATATTTTATATTATACTTTATATAATATTTCATATTCTATTTCAGATTATATTTTATATTTCATTTTGTATTTTAAATTATATTTTATATTATATGTTTTATATTACATTTTATATCATATTTTAAATATGATATTTTATATTTATATTTATATTTTAAATTCCATTTTGTATTATATTTTATATTATATTTTTTATTATATTTCTTATTATATTAGATATTATATTTTATATTGTATTTCATATTATATAATATAATATATTTTATATTATATTTTATATTATACTATATATTATATTATATCATATAATAAGTATATATTATTTATTTTGTATTATGTAATATATATTATGTACACTATTTTATTATAATATATTATAATGTTAATGTGTGTTAATATGTTTATAAATATAATATATATCGTAGTATAAGAAAATTTATTTTATAATTATTTCTTATATATTTTAATTGGATTATGTATGTAATTGGATTATGTATGTTTTAAGTTTCTAATAAAAGTAGTGCAGATAAAAATGAAAATTTTACAAACTCTTATGCCAGTATATGTTAATAATACCTGAAAAAAACGATGTTGATATAATTCAGCTCCATCCTTAAACCAGGTAATTGTGGGTCTTGGATTTCCTGAAATAGTGTTAAGAATAATTTTTTTTTAGATTTTTTTAAATAAGTATTAAAAGATACATTAAAATTTACCTTGTGCCATACAAAAGAAAGTAATCTTACGTCCAAGTGTATAATCCAGTTCAAAATGAGAAGACTTTATAATTTTGGCACCCTTAAGATAAAAATATCAAAATTATTTTATAAAAATGTTTAACAATATTTTTGTAAATGAACCTAACATTTTCGTGATCATAATAGTTGACAGCATCCGGGGTGCGATGTTGTATTAAAACGGGCTTTTTACCAGTGTAGTTCCTTCTTAAAACTCCACGTCCACCAACACTTCCTAAAGAAAATAAAAACAAAAAATTATATAAAATTAGTTTAAAAGTTCAAATTTTTTCTGTAGGTATTAAACAATAGAATCGAACGCTCCCGTGGGAAGAGAATCACTCCGACCTTAATAGATGTTTTATAATGAAAAACAAAATATAGTGGTATAGAAGCCATTCAACCTTCTTGAAAATTACAATATTTGATGTCGAATATTGTTTACTTTTTTTTCAGTTATTATTTATTATTATATATTTTTATTATATAACAATTTTTAATTTTGAATAATATATTATTATAATAATAATAGTAATATTGTATATAAAATGTTTGCACTTATATTAAAATCTGTATATACTCCTATTTTTTTTTGTATATTTAATTATTAATTTATTTATTTGTGAATAATGATTTTATTTAATTTATACGTACTTTGTGTGTTGGAATCGCCACATATAGACAGCATTATTAAAATAATATATAAAATTGCAATGCGTCCACTTTTTCTGTTCATTTGTGATATATTACAATTGACACGAAAATGTTAGAGTGCTAACTCGTTCAGTTATATGAACTATTATCTCTCAAATTTTTTATCACAGTGATGTGCTGCTACGAAATCTATTTCAATACTAAAGACATGAGTGACTCTTCTCAGCGCTCGAACGTGGTTTGCGCTTTTTGTTATTCCATCAATTGAATTATATTAACGTGACAATGACTGATTTGGATCATCACAGTTAATACTATTTTTATTCACTAAACAATTTTGTTTTGTTTTGTATATTTAATTTATAATGTTTGTAAATTTGTTTTTAGGGTATTCCAATAAATATTATAATCACTTGTACAGCGTTTGTCAAACTTTATTCTTTATGTGATTTTAAAGAGATTCACATCATTTTATTATAATTCAAATATATTACATATATTTCCTACATTTAATCTACTAAAAATTTAAAAAAGGATATTTCAGTTTTAGTTGATAGTCAATAAATCGTTTCTAATTCTGAAAGTGAAGACACACTCTTCCTTTTTTTTATTTTTTAGTAAAATAATTAAATATAAAGTTTCTTACTTAAACTTTATTGCTTAAATTGCTTTATATATATCTATTTATCTATTATAGTTTTTTTCAATATAATTTTTATACTTAATAAATTCTAAATAGATTTTAAATAGCTTTAAATGAGAAAAGCTGCTGAACAGTTTTTAGGTATGCAATTTCACTTTTCTGGAAAAACGTATCTCCTGAGTATCTCCTTTTTATTATGGGTAAATAGGAAAAAGACACACAATGTCATATCTGAAGAATAAAAAAAAATATTCTTGCAACAAATTGAACCGCCTAGTGTTTTAAACCAAAAAAATTTGTGAAACCCATTACAGATGTATTACTTTTCTGTTTCTTCAGAAACCTCGAACGGTAATTTTGTTAGCAAATACAATCATTTTAATTTATTTGAATAAATTACATGTAATTTTTGATGGACGTATAAGGACGCCTGGATTTAATGTCCTCTGTGACACTTGTTTCAGATTTTGAATATTTCGCTGCACTGAATTCTGTTTTTAGGAAGCAATTTTATACAAATTCTCTGATCCAGCACTTCTGCCGCACCATAAGTCCGCAGAACACACTAATCTATATCTTGCTCATTCGCTCGGTAAACACAAACTAAACAACTGTAATAGTAAACACGTACGTTACTAACAGTGCAACCAATACATAAAAAAAGACTAGACTCAACAAATGAAATACATCTCTTATTATGTTCTAGAATTTTTAACTTTGCTTAAATCAGTTTAAGAAATGCATACATGCTTCTCTTTTCTTAAGTAGTTTATATTTATATATAAGAGTGTATATGTTTAAATACAATATTTATTTTATATTATGTCTAATGATGATTTTTTGTTTTTTTTTTTCAGTGGAATGTGGAATGTTCCTTATGTTTCCAATGTGTATTTGATCAAAAATACCGCATTTAAATATATTAACTATGATCATCAATATTTTGACCCCGATATGGCCATGTGCGAATCACTTCGTAACGCGGTAAGCAAGTTCAAATTTTCAAAATATATTAGTATATGTACATTTTTTGATGTAAGTAAGCCGATTTATAACACTTAAAAACATTTAGTGGTGTTTTTTTGTATTTTTTTAAATCATTTTTTGCTTTTGGTATGATTACTATATCACTAAATTTGTCATTAAAATATTTTTATATTTTATATTTAATAAAAAAAAAAATATTTTAATCGATGTGAAGTATTATATCAAATATTAAACTTATATATATCTATCCTCCAAAAATAAATTACTATATTTATTTTTATATTGTTACATCTGTTATATATATAACATATACTCATAGAATTAATTTTCAATCTTCATACAATGCAGGGTATTTTTATGTATATCACAAACTATCGCGCATACGGACACATGGTGAATGTAGATAACTTCGATAGTACTCTTACAAGTCCAGATTTCTACACGCTTTTTACAAACAAATATGACTGGATCCTAAAATACCTACATCCAAATTATGCAAAACAGTTAGAAGCCAATGTAACAATACCACAACCATGTCCGGACGTATTTTGGTTCCAGATTGTAACTGATACTTTTTGTGATGATTTTGTTGCTATAACAGAGGCCTATGGCAAGTGGTCAGATGGAAGTAATAAGGTAAGTTAATTTTATACTATTTATTGTGATTGTTTAAAAAAACCAACGACTAACACTAATATTATTTATTATTTTCTAGGATGCTCGCCTTGAAGGCGGCTATGAGGCTGTACCAACGCGTGATATTCATATGAAACAAGTAGGCTTAGATCGACTATGGTTAGAATTCTTACTACTTTTCGTGCGGCCATTACAAGAAAAAGTTTTTACTGGTTATTATCATAATGTAAGCAAACAATATTTATATATTGGATATGTGAATAATTTATAAAAATAATTTATTTAGCCACCACGTTCATTGATGAATTTTATGGTGCGATATCGTCCTGATGAGCAACCTTCCTTAAGGCCCCATCATGATTCTTCTACATACACCATTAATATTGCACTCAATCATGTAGATAAAGATTATGAAGGCGGCGGTTGTCGTTTTATACGCTATAATTGTTCAGTCACCGAAACAAAGAAGGGTTGGATGCTTATGCATCCCGGACGACTTACACATTTCCATGAAGGACTTTTAGTAACTAAAGGCACACGTTATATTATGATATCGTTCATTGATCCATAAATATGGTTTTCAATTTTGACTATTGGGAACATATTCGGTTCTCGCCTTTAAATTTATTAAACTGCCATTTGTCTATCCAAAGATTTTATAAAATTGCTTCAAACTCGCAAACTTGTTTAAGTGTGATTATTTTCCCATCGTATGTACTAATATATTGAAAACACATACTCAACGCATTGTTTGTCGACGATTTCATTTTCAATGAAAATGAATAGTATATCATGTTTTAAATGCATAAAATTAATAAGTGTTTTTATATTAATATTTATTATATTAAGTAAAAATGTCAATGACTACATTTTGTATAAAAATTAAAATAAAAATTAACGAAACCTATTTTCTAAAAGTTTTTTCCCATTAAAAATGTTATATTCATAACCTTACTTTTTTAGGCTAAGGAAAACTCATATCATACTAATGTTCTCATAAAATATATAACAGCAATATTTTATTATATCAATAAATGTACAGATCAATAAAGATTTAACTGCTTTATGACATTATTTATTATTTATTATATATACTAGGTGACCCCGCGAACTTCGTACCGCGTAACAGTCATTGAATGTTATATTAAATTTTAGATTCATCAGCGATCGAATTTTGTGCTTGAATACACGTGCAGTGATGTCGTGCCGATCACTTGATGTCTGTCCAGAAAGCAGCATTTAAACAATTTCTTTCCATTTTGGATTACACGAACTAATTTTCTTGGTAGTTTCCTCACCTGATTTAAAAACAGTAAAATTAGTATCTTAGAAGTGAGATTCACGTATGTATTCTGAATTGAAAACTATGATGTTGATACCCACCATTCAATGGGCTTATCATTTTTATATTGAAGTCATATCCATCATCTTGCCAAAACATCAGTGGGTATTGCAACGTGTCATATGAACGATGTGTTTCACATACTTGTTGCAGTTGCCCAGTATCGCGACGTGTAAGCACAATATCACGTGTGTTCAACTTTTCTCCAACGATCAGGATTGCAACTTTATCTATTGTTGGAGCGTTAAATTTGCGTTCATGTGTTTCTGCTGGTCGTTTATCCGCTCTGATCACAACTTTGTAGTTATCATGTGGCATGCGCACCAACGCAGTCTTGAACAGCCTGACCAATGCATGATGTTCATGAAGTAGTTGCTGCAGATCTTGAAGAATTGTTATTTTCATTGCTGTGTTGATCTCTTGACGCCGTTCAAGTTGTTCCATCATATTGCCCATGAAGTATATTTCCAAGAATTTATGTTGTGCATCTTCAACAGGTTGCAATGATTCAATATGATGATGAATCTGGCACTCGCACAAAACAAACAATCAATACTTTCAGCTCATATTTATTTATTATATTTGAATTTATTATACTTGAAATATTTGAAAAAAAAAATTTAAAAAGAAATCAATATCACTCAAACTGTCGAACTGTCAACAGTTAGAAACAGCATTTACAAATTTATTATTTTTGCTAAAATTAGTGGATTTTTCCAATATTTTATAATGTATTCTGCTATTCGGAGCGGAGACGATTCCAACAAATCAAAGATAATTAAAATCCGTCCAGCCGTTCTTGAGTTATAAGTGGTCTAACTAACCCGACTTTCTTTTATGTATATAGATAAATATATATATTATTACTATATTATATGAATATAATTAATTATAAAACTTATATTAGTTATTTAGATTAGTTATAAGAAGAATTCGTTAAGAAAACATGTGACTGATATAATAAAAACGTAAGCTGATCAATTAACTTTTAAGGCACTTCTTATCAATAGTGTAACTGATCTCAATTCAGTATTCGAACACAACTTCCTTTATAACAAATAATATAAACATTTATTAATATTTTATGTTCTTATATGCCAAACAAAAATTGATTTTGAGAGATAGAAAGAATCCATTTCTAATATCAAAATTAACCTAAATACGATATGTCAAAGAGGTCTGTCTAAACAAAAACTTTCATTCGAAAAACCGCCAATATCTTACAAAAGGTTATTTTTAGAAAACCTATATATATATATATAAAAGGCTTATACTCATATATAGTACAGTAAATATTATTATTAAATTAGGGTAATCGGCATTAAAAGCTAGCTAGCTCATACTTTTTTAAAAATAAATTCAAATTTATTGAATATTATTTATACAAAATGCTCTCTTTATTATTAAATTTGAGATGCCCACTGATAGATAGTAATAGAAAAGCAATAGTGTTGATACTCGTGAAATAGCAGAATATGCTACCAAAAGTTGCATTCACTATTTATTCAATTTGCAATTTCCATCTTCTTTCGAAGTTGGTAAAACTTGTCCTTAAAAAGGATATAAATGCTTTCCGCATACCTGTATTATTGAAAAACTTAGTTAAAGAAAAAAATAGTTATCGATTTTATTTCAAGGAACACAAAGTGCATCTTAAATCGATTCTGTACGTCAAACAAAGAAAATTGCAAGAATTTTCTTCAGTTTCTATTCTATATTTTATCCAAAAAATTTTAAACAAATCTAACTCTAAATGAGCTACATTCATGTATAAATATTTAATGGATTTTTTAACGGTACTGATGAAATAAAGGAATTCCCAAATATTAATAAATACTGAGCATGGCGTTAAGCGGCCTGATGCCATACAAATCCGACGTAGACTATTACAGGAGCACTTCCTGGTTGTAGAACAACTTTAAAAAGTGGTGTTTTAGAATTAAATATAATCTGAACCTTTTAAATTTTCAAACATTGTACCATGAGATAAGAATAAGACTCTTAAGAAATTATTGGTTGTATATTGAGAACTAAGAGGTAATAAAAGTTTTGTAAATAAAATTATAATTTCATGGGTGTAGAATATGGCCACTACAACACTTCACATAATATAGGTTAGGTAAGGTTGGGTTATACCGGTGATCCCTAGTGGATCCACTTAGGCCTATTGGCCCATTGTGATGCTGTATATAAATACTAAAAAAAAAAAAAAAAAAACTTCAGGGTTTAAAACCACCTAGAACCTTTTGCGAAGCATAAAATGCTATTTAAAGCCCGATCCTGTAACTGGTCCAGGTCCTCAAGGAAGGGGGCCCCTAGAATACTAAATCGCCGACGTGCAAGAGCTGGACAAAAACACAACAGATGAGATGCGCTCTCATCGTCCTCCCCACAGCTACGACAGATTTGGTTGAAAGGAAGACCTAGTCTTCTAGCATGATTCCCTAGCTTACAGTGCCCTGTAATCAACCCTACCAGAAGACCAATGTCCTTGCGGGACATCTCAATGAGAGTTTTCGATTTCCTTTTATCGGAAAGTGGCCAGATTGCATACAGATGTCTACATATCGTTGAGTCTTCCCATCTTTTATTAAAAGTATTAGCGCAGAAAGAACTCAATACATAAGAACTCACATAATATAAGTTAAATATTAATTTTTATTTGTCCGGTATTCCGTGTTTTTGTTCGATAGTTCAAGTAGAAGAGACCGAGCGTACTTTTGCGAATTTGGGAGCTACCGAAGCCAAACGGGACTTTTCCAGACAAACAAGTGGATGTCCCGTTTGGTAGCAACCATGCGTTCGAATAATATCACATGATTGCTTCGTTAATGAAACTAAGCAAGGGCCGGATTTGGGAGACGCGTGCGTTAACTTATATGCAATAATAGATTAGAGCATAAATTATCTCTCAAGGATATTATTTGTATTATTATATATCTGTTATAAATGAAACTTCCATATGGGTCTCTTGTTTCATGTAGTACTATTTTCAACTTCCTAATATATTTCACTCAATCAAAGGAAGCTTAATTGGCAGTAAGAGCTTGTTTTTCTATTTTTAGTATTGCTAATGTATTTATTAAAGTAAATATTTGAGAACTGCAGAACTTATGGAGCTTTCGTTTGCATCTCACAGCATTTGGAGGTGTATTGTGATTAACATAAAATAATATCCAGTTAATTTTAAAGCCACTATTTCGCTGACGGTGCGAATAATCTTTAGTAATGATATGTTTACATTACTTCTTATAAAGACAAATCAAACATTTTTCATGTATTTTTTATATTATATATTTTTCATATTTTTTCATATTAAAATGGTATATATGTACATGGTAATATTATATTACATACTAAATTTTTTACATAGCTTTGCATGAAAATTATTACTTTACTTTACTAATAAAAATATTATATTGTATTATTTATTAACTTTATCGGTTGCATTGATTGTTTAAAGAAACTTTAAATTGCAATGTCGAGTTGTAAACCCCATTTTATCAGCTTTTAAACACATATCATCCTTGACGTGATTATTTCATAAAAATTGACAGTAGTCGATCTTCTTTTAATAAGATTGTTTATAATACCAATAAAAAAGTGTTGGTATAAATTAATATCTCACACCGATGTATGGGAGATCTTCTATAGTTCCGGAGATATGGTATAAAAACCGCACTATCGTTTTATATACATATACAGACAATTAATAATTAAAGAATAATTATAGAACAAAAGCTAAGAAAAATCATAAATTATTTTACATATATGCATTTCTTTGTATATTTGTAAGCTACTCAGTTTATTTCTTTATTAAATAAAGTAATATTTGCTGTGAACAATTTAAAAAAAAGCTTAGTAAAAGCTTGATAAAAGCTTTTTTCTCCCACTGTTTTAAGCTAAAAAATACCCAGTATTTTTGAACTTTTATGAACAATCAGAAACAAAATTTAATAATTAATAATTAATATATGCAGTTTATGTAAAGAAATTAAACCAAAAAAAATATTTATTTGAATATTTAAAGTCGTTTATCTTTTACTTTAATCTAATAATAATATAGTTTTATTATATGAATTTTTAAGATATTCAATTTGCTTATTTAAAAAACAATTACGTCTCTTTGAATGTAATTTATTTTTTTTAGTTGTACAATATATTTATGTAATAGTCTAAACAGTAGTTATATAATACTTTAAACAGCAGTTATGTAATAGTGTAAACAGCAGTTAAATAGATGCTTGTCTTGCGTTCTCTTTTGGTTAATTGTGTTAAATGATTTTCTGAAAATCCTAGATTACAAAACTGTTAATCAAGAATTATGGATATATTTCAATTTTTCACATAACATTTATGGAGACGTATGTTAGAAAACACTTCTACGTCGAATTGGATAGATAGACGCATAATTGCTATTTACTCAAATTGAACTTTATATTAAGTTATATTATTTCATA